AGTACCAGCCCCGTTAGCGACAGAATCACTGGGAAGTGCAGCACCGTGACTATGAACACAATGAAGTCTCGATACGTCACCGCCTCCGTAAGCTCAAGCATAACATTGCCAGCAAGGTTGGTCATGATGTCGCTCACAGCCAAGTTTGCGATCAAGAAGTACAACGGCTTGTTCTGCTGCAACTTCGCGACACCAAACACGACAAGACCGTTGAGAAGAACACAGAGAGCACTTGAGAAGATTGTCAAGACTTCTCTTCCAGGAAAAGCGAAGGGTCCCCATCCCGACGAGTTCCCACAGATTGCCACTACAGTCCCGAAAGTCACGTTTTGGCTGAGGCCGTTTTCCGCGAACCATTCGAAGCACCGGCCCGTGGTGTTAGGAGGAGAGTACCCGGTTAGGATAGAGCTGAGATTTCCCTCCATTTTTTTCTGCTCAACATCCACACTGGCTAGACACTTCTTTGATACTCCAGCTTGGTAAAGTCTTGCGATGTTTTGCCACTGCTGTGGACCCAGGAAAAACCACAATGGTTAGAAAACACCAGAAGTGGCGAGGCCAACGTAGCTGTTGCCTGTCCCCTTTCTTTTAGAGGACACTCACACTTCTGAGAAACCCTCTAGTACCCTAAAGCTTCAAAAAGGACAGTTTTTATACATCCAGTCGTCCGTTGGTAAAGCCTGTAGCGGACTGAGTGAGGTCAGCACTAGTAATCTCCTAGATTTCGTTCCGAACCTCCTGTCCTAGTCCAGATGATCCAGAATCAGCTTTTCTGAGAAATTGCTTCTAAGAAATATCTTCCAAAATAGACCTTCTGAATGCTGACAGAAGGAGCTTTGCGAAAATAGCTGCTGCTGACTGTAAGCTTTTTCCTACTTCTTTCTTGGCGCCCTTATGCTTCAAGAGTCAAACGTCGAAGAGCAGAAACAACACTCCTCACAACGAAAGGACGACCAATGCCCGATCGAAGTGTGTGCCTCATGTTTTGGACGGAGAAGGCAAGGGATTACCACACCAATCAGTGCCGAAGGAAGCACACTTTGTTTGCCCATTTTAAAGGCTTAATACATGCACGGAAATCTGTTGCAGCAATCACTGACGCACATCTATGAACCACCAGAGAGGATCATACAGTGAGGAAGTGTTAGCTTTTATCCGCTCCGTTGCTAGATGAGATTACAGAGGCATTTGATGTGCGTCCGTCATTGAAACGTTATCCGTGGGTGAATCCTATTAAAAAGATTAGACCGATTTTTACAGCAGATGTGCTCGCTTGAGCTTTCCATTTGGCCGAAAACACCGGACGTAAGCATCAGTCGTGGGGAGGCTACTGTGGCTGTTGTCCGTCCTCTTTCATGTGATAAACACTCACTCTCCGGCCATGTAGCTTTCGATTTAATATATGGATAATATCTTCTGGGAACCCGAAAACTGACGCGAGCCTGCGAATATGAAAAGCTTTGGCAAAAAAAGTTGCCTTCATTTTTTTTAATGGTTTATTTGAAATTTCCCTCACATATGTCACAATTGCAGTCCTAAGACTGAATTATGGTGACAGTACATACATACATTATCATAGACTTATAACAATTATTACTAAAGGTTAAAAATTATGAATTACAACTACAATTTATGTACAGTCGTAGTGTACAATGTATAATAAAACTAGTACAATGCGTTGGTTAAAAGATGGACATTCGTGTGCTATATCAAATTATTAATATCTTTAAGAATATTTTTATTATTCATATAGGATTTATACTAAGTAATTATAAACAAGGGGGGTCATATGAAAAAGTACACAGTGTTGACTTCAACATTATAAAATCTACATGGTTATGAAAGTTGAACAAATGGCTAAACACAAAGAATATGTGTGTTTACATTTCCTTCTTTGCGGAATTGATTTTGGCATTCTACAACATTAGTATCCTGAAATCCAATATTCGGTTTGTCACTTACGTCGTATATATTTGCTCATTGTGCAGGGGCTAGTACGATTTACGTTGTATGGTTGAAAACGTTTTTGGGGGAAACGGCCAAAAAATTTATGTGCACGCAGATGTCATCCATATAAACAAACCAACATTATTGTATTCTTCCTCATGACAGATATGCAGCTTTGCAAACAAACAAAAAAATTAAAATCAAAATCAACCACTCGAGACTTATTTTCTTTGAAGCTTTTTCTTTCTTCTTTTGTACCTCTATGAAATCAAATCTTTGTTTGCCTGCTGCAATGAAGGCTTAATACGAACGCACACGAAGATCTGTCTCTGCTATCGCTGACGTACACCAAAGAAAATCATATTGGTAGGTAGTGTTAGCTTTTATCCGCTGCGTCGCTACTGATGCCATGACTAGTATTTGATGTGCGTCCGTAAGTGAAAAGTATTTACTGGCCAGTTCTATTAAGAAGATTACACTTTTTTTGCAGCAGATGGGGTCTTTTATATAAGCTTTTCATTTTGCCGAAAGGTCGGAAGTAATTGGCCAAAAAATACACTTTCCACGATTTGTTAGTGTAAGTAAGGATTGCCGACAACAGCTCTGGTTGGTCAATGAATTTGAAGACCATTCAATTAATGAATGCCATAAATTTCACTGGAACGCAAACCTGTCAGTGTTTGCTGATTCAGATACCTTTTCCTAGTTAAATTTATACGAACACATTCGTAGGTTTTAAAAAACTGTGATATCATGATATTGCAAAACTAGCACATCGACTGTCTTGAGCAGTTACCGTATAGCTCCTCGCCCATTCAGAGTTCTTTCTGTTTTGAAGGAAAGGATTTATTTAGTGGGGCACCAGCAAAATAAACCTAAGATATTAAGATTTCTTTCTTCATTGAGTAACCATATGCAAGGAGGTTTAAATCCTCCTTGCTATATACAAATCTGAATTCTGTAATATATTCCCAAGTAAGGTTACAAATAAGTAGCTAGGTTTCCCCATGTTGACCCCTGCGCCGAATCGTCTGCTATCTTTCTCCCGATCAAACATTGGCGCCATTTTTCAGACGAGAAAAAGCTTCCGCCATTCTGCAAAAGGTGAGAATATTTTCCTCTTTTTAGCGTCGAATTCTGTCATATTTGCAGGGTTTTCGAACATTTCAGTGGATCAGTGTTGTTGTGGTGTTACTTGTGAGCTATTTCTGAGGAAAGTTCTTCTTGTATCTCTAGATCTGGCCCCAAAATTTCACACAAACGCAAAGATTCGATGTGCTGCGTAAAATTTTCGTCTGGTCGATGTCACTTTGTCAGTCCGAAATTAGTTCAGCATTATTCGCAGAAGGGTAGGTTGTACGTATTTTAGGATGTAAAACTCCAGATTTATGTGAGGTTCCCTTCCTAAATAATCCAGAATATGCCCACCTATCACAATATAGTATCAGTAAATCTAAGGAAATTTTCCGATAAAGGGGGGAGGGGGGCAGGTTAGATAATACAGTGAAGTATAAGCTGAGACATCGATGGCAATTAATATGAGGCAATTAGATATACAAGAAAACAGTTACTCAAGCAACTGGATACATTTTGAAAAAAAAAAAAAATTACAAGTTGTTTTGTTTTATTTATAACATATAAGTATGTAACTTATTATCTCTGTTTTAAACCTCCTTGGTGTGTGTAAATATAAATGAACATAATATATAACGTTATATAAATATCAGATCATAAGTTATAACTTATTTTTGTCATGAAGCCCAACTCAGTGATGTAATTAGTAGTACTGCTTTAAAGTGGCACCCTGGATAACAAATATGATTTTAACAATATTTATTTCATACAAATTCTTGTTATTTCTTCCAGTTTCGGTAGTGCCACAGGATGAGGGATCAGAAAGAGACACCTTGACTTGAGTTGAAAAAAAAAAAGTTGCCAAGATGAGTGCTCTTCCCCAAAACAACCTGGAAGAGCAACTTGCACGTTACAGACAAACCAACACTGGGACCAGCAAGACAGGCCAGGTCACCAAGGGGTAGGTTTAGTGATGCATATACCGGTTCACTGGACTTGGATCTGGACTTAAAAAATGTTTAGGTTCAAGTCCAAAAAAACCTAAAAGTCAAGAACCGAGTCCGGACTTATTACCATAAAAGACCATTTCACAAACCCCTTTTCTTTCCAAACCACCTAAAACCTTCTGTAGGTTGTAAAATCTTTGCTGCAAAATGAAGAAAACATTGCCATCGGGCATCGTCAAGTGTCGGCCTCCATGTTATGTGACCAAAGTTTCACCCAGACAACATTGCGAGGTTGCCAACATGCAATTTTGTATATGCCATGGGTTTAGGTCCGGACTTACAAGTCCGGACCTGAACCTAAACCTCTGTACTTGAATCCGGACCTGAACCTGAAATTGGGTTTAGGTATGCATCCCTAGGTAGGTTAAGTTATTTACATGATTTTAAGATGCTAATTCACTTTTATCAAAAGTTTATATATATATATATATATATATATATATATATATATATATATATATGTTTATGGTAGCAAAAGCTTGCAAGCAATTGACATGGTCTGAGAAAAATGGACTTGTTCATAGAATTATATATTCACAAATTGGGGGAAGGTGCAGGGAAAAAAAGTCGGCAAGTTATTTTATAACGGTAATTATAAATTGGCAACCACGAAAACCTTGAACGTAAAAGTACTGTGCAAAAATTGTAGGTATTACAATGTTTAAAGCTTTACACAAATTTTGTTATCATATTAACAGATGTTTGTATTCTTTGGGAGTCTGTCAGTACATTTTAACCCAATTGGTAGATGTGTGTTTTTGTTGTTACCATTGTTGAAATAACATATTTTTTAAGGCTTGTAAAAAAAGTTTTGTATATGTGGCTGGTCTCAACAATAAATGGGGATGCAGATCCATGCCAATTGTATGTTTGGTCCGGTCAGAAATGCCAGCAGATTAAGCGTTTAAAAAGAAATTTCTTTCTCTCTTTTTCTTTTCTACGAACAGGTCATTCAACTTTAAGAAGACTTCTACAAGCAGTGTTAGGACAACTCGCCCTCAGAATTCCAGCAGTGCACCCAAACAAGGCTTCACTGTAACCAAAGAACCAAGGAAGCCTCTATCTCCTGTCAAAAATAACAGCAATATTCCAAACAAAGTACAAAACAATACTGTGCATGAAAGTACTTGGAAACAACCTGCCAAATTGTCCTCCCATACCTCGATAGAGTCAAACTCTTTGACAACTAGTGTCGATGCGCTCAACCAAAATGGCGGCAGGACTAGAAGCAAGCTTTCACGCGGCAACAACAAGTCTTCGCAGCAGCTTCGTATCAACAAGTTCTTTGAAAAACCCAAACCCGTTGTTGCACCCATTTTCACAACAAAGAAGTCACAGGCTTTGATTCCAAGTACATGCACAAGAGTGCAGAATTCTAACAGCAGGTCTAGTAACAGTACTACAGCAGGACAGAGTGGAGGTGCAGGGAAGGAGTTTGAGATGTCAAGCTGTTTCGACTCGCCACAGATGGGCTTGAGGAACACCAGTACACCGAGGCACACCCCAGTGGCCTGTGTAAGACCAGTCGCTGCTGCATCTTTCACAGGGTAGGCCAAGTGTTTTTGTTTGTTTTGTGTGAAGCTTTATTTATTCATGAAATACTAAAATCCTGATTATGCAATCAGTAATATTTTCATCCGTATACATTTGTACATGTAAGGTCACTTTTGCATAATGATAGATACATTGTAGATTTCTTCAAGGGAAGTTGGGATTCATCCATTGTTCTGCCTATGGTACTAGTATAGGAGTCAAATTCTGAACTTCTGACATTAATTATTGTTTTTATAATCACTGTGTTTAATTTCTTTCTTGATGATTTGTTGTCAAAACATGAGGAAGTAAAAATATCTTACCTTAAAATGACTTACTAAGTAAAACCTAGAAAGGAGCATTTTTATGGACCTGTCTTATCTGATTTTATTTCAGAATCTGTAATAATTTTGTTTATTGTTTATCAGTGATGATTCCATCAGCATGCCTGCAGAGCGGCGGTGGGAGAGGTACTTTGGAAACTCTCCTCCAATGGACGACCTTGACGATTTTGAACCATCCACAGGTCAGTTTGCTTTTATGCATACTGTAATTCACATTATGTTTACGGTAGCAAAAGTTCAGTGTGCTAAAAGTAAACATACATGTGTCTACCAACTGCACCCATTTGCAGACAAACTCAGTGTTAAATTTCTGTTTCTTCTTTTCCAGATTTCAACCTCCCAACTCCAAGAAAGACCACAGTTTCACCAGTCCATGATAAGACATCCAGCAATAGCCACAACAATACTAAGGTAAGCTTCTTCTTCAGTAAAGTGAACAAGAGGGAAATTACTGTGTGCCCTCTACTGTAGGTATACACCCAGTACAGGGATGGTTCAAGTTACTAAGTAGTACCAAGTAGACATCAGAAGTACCTACACAGCTCAAATTTTTCCTTTTTTTTATGTTTACCGAAGGAAAACATATTGTTTTTACTCAGTTTGTTCCCCCTCTTCTGTTCCAAACACTAACCTCTGACCTGGCCAATGACATGACATTTGTTGACGTCTGTCACCATGGTGACTGGTGTTGGCCATGGGTTACATAATGTTGCAATTTCATGGTCTGCTCTGCTCTGCTCCTTTCACCATACTTTTAGTGCATTTATGTGAATGTGTTTGAGTAAGAATTAACAGAGCAGACCATGTCTGAAGGTAAACATTATGCATTTGCTTTGCAAATGTTACCTCTCTAGTTCATACTGTATCATGTATTTAGTTTTGTTCCATCTTATATTACAACATGTAGTTGAAGTAGACGATATGAAAGTCCCTATAATTTCGTCAGGTCATAAAGAATCTATTTCGTTCCCAGCAGCCAAAGGTCCAGCAAGCTGTTGCTGCAAAGTTTGGTTCTGACTCAGTGATAGACTTGACTGACAGTATAGACTGCAAACAGGCACAGAAGTGGAAGGATACAGACACACCAGGAGGTGATGAGGCCAAGACATCAGTAGAAGACAATGGTACTCTTCAAGTCATACTTATGAAGTAGATGATTGAATGTCAAGGTCTCAACTCTTATAATTAATCCATATATGAAAATATGACGTCTTCTCAGACAAAATACTGAATAGTGCCACTGTGGAATGGTGACCCGAGAAGAAGACGACAAAATACTGGACCATTGTAAAAGGAGAAAGATTTATATATTCGTTGAAATTGTCATTTGTTGAGTAACTGCTTTTTGGCGAAATTGTCATTTGTTGAGCTTCGTTTGTTATTCAAATATAAGATTTTCAAAATCTTCTCGAAAAAAATTTTTTTTTCTACCAAAATATGTCAATAACAGACATCTAGTTATTGAGATTAACTCAAGAAAACAGTTACTGACTACTGGTAGTACTAAAAGAAAATCTATCCAGATTACTTGAGTAAGAAACTCTGGAAACTAGGTTAAGAAACTCTCCACACTAGCTAAAGAAACTCTAGACAATGGCTTAAAAAGCGGATCTCATATATGTATGCAATTTACTACCTCATATGTACATGTAAGCATGTAGACATAAGTATAATCGTGATATGTGAGATTTTATCCAATTTTGTTCTTGCAGACAAACAGATAGATTGGGCAACGGATGAAGTCTCCAGCAGCCAAAACGACATGTTTGGATCCAGTCAACAAGACGACTCCATAGCCATGATGTTAGACGCTGTACCCAGCTCACCACCTGTTCAAACAGGCACGGAACAGCAGAGGACAGCACAGGCTGTCAGTGGCAGAGACAGCAGCCGTGCTGTCAAACAGCCTGAAGGACAGAGAAGTCGCGGGACAGCGCATGCTGGTTTTGACCTTGCTGCTGTTTCCGACTATCCTTTGCTGTATACTGAAGCTAAGGAGGTAAGGATTGTTTTGAAAGGTATGTACACATGAATGTATGTGTGTGTGTGTGTGTGTGTGTGTGTGTGTGTACAAATGTATGTGTGCAATGTATGTTTGTATGTATGTGTGTGTGTGTGTACAAATGTATGTGTGAGTGTGCAATATATGTTTGTATGTGTGTGTGTGTGTGTGTGTGTGTGTGTACATGTGTGACAGTGTACATCTGTACCATATGTATATGTGTGTCTGTGTACATGTACATGTACATGTGTGTGCACATTGTATGTCTGCATGCATGTTTGTGTTCATGTGTGTGTGTGTACATGTACATGACTGTGTGTGTTTGTGTGTGTACAATGTATGTGTGTATATTATATACATGAACATGGACATGTAGATGATGTGTGTGTGTATACAAAAAATATTAAAGGGGTAAAGTCTGCCATCTCAAATGTTCTCCCCTTGTCCCTGTAGCTTGCGTCGTCCCAGTTACACCAGGGTCTACATGACCTGTTGTGTTACCGACTGTCTGTGATGGACCAGATGTGCAGGGTGTTCGACAGACTTCCTCTGTCTGTACTGACTTCACTTCCAGCTGCTGACATGACAGCCATCACACAGTGTAGCAGTCTCAGGTACATGCTAATGTCATAAAAGTTCATCTCTTGTGCTGGTAGTTACATGTTTAAAGTTAAAACATTTGTTCCAACACAAGGGATTGTTCTCACATGAGTGTAGAGTAGAGATCTCACATAAGAGTAGAGCTTTCAACCAGTCACTGACACAGTGTTGAAGTCACACTTCAGAGAAAGCCACATGACAAGTCCAGGGTTCTAGCTAGGATTTAATTTTAGCATAGTGGCACTGGCCGCATGATGAGGGAGCGAAGTGGAGCTTTTAAAGCTTTGAGCTTAAAAAGAGGTCATATGAGGGATACCCAAAGGGAAAAAATGTTATTTCTAAGGTATGTACAATGTATCCTTGATTTTTCACATTTGACCTGGCATTCTTGAACAAAGAAATACAGTCACAATGCCCCTATGCTGTAGTAAAAATTAGCATAGGGGGGGGATTTAGCGTAGGGGGGAAATTTAGCGTAGGGGGTCAAAATTATAGCATAGGGGTTCCCTACGCTTTGCACTAGCTAGAACCCTGAAGTCTCACTGGGTCAGTGAAGAAGAAGACCAGAGTGACTGGTCAAAACCTCTACTCTTATTGCTGAGTGCACGGTCAAGTAGATAAATTGTACATGTATATTAAAGTTCGAAAACAGATATTGAAATATCTGAATAATAATTTTGTATATATTTGTATCTCTCTATCAGGAAGCAGCTAACAGCCAAGAGTAAAGAAATGGAAACAGTCCTGAAAGATCGTGGAGAGAAAATACCAGACTACCTCACCACATCTACTCTGTTCTCTCCTCCAACAAACAGTAAAGCTTCTTTTGTAGAAAATAGAAACAAGACTCCTAATATCAACAACAGTACAAGAAGTGCAACAACTGCAAATAATGGTGACCCCCAAACTTTGAACTCTGGGTCAGGAGGTCAGAAGGCAAAGTTCAACTTCAGAAGAACCTCTGGCGGGTCGAGTGCAAAATCCCCCGGAAGTGCAATAAAAGTTCCTCTCCAGTTCACCGATTCTCCTCACGTATCAAAAGAGAGGAAAGTATCGCATCTTGATAGCAGTGAAGAAAGGGCTGGTAAAGGAAAACCTGGCTTTATGGCAACTCCATCATCCTTTAGCAAAGTGGGGAATATGAAACCCAACTCAAATGTAAGCCCTGGATGTCTGAACCAAGCCAGCAACGCAACACCTTCAACAAACTCCACGAGTAAGCCTGATTTCGATGGTGACTTTTATGATGACATACATATACCCTCCTCACAGATCACACCATTTGCCAAGCCCCAACAACAAAAAGGCAATAGTAACACCTTAAAAGGTACATCCAAGAACTGGGGTGATGTAGAGGATACAGTTGAGATAGAAGACTCAGAAAGTGAGATTGAAGATCAAGAACAAGTGACTAAAGATAATTATCCAGAGGAAAACAATGAGATTGAAGACGAATACTGGGACGTTGACGACATAGGCTTAGATGAGATTGAAAATGATGGACTGAGTCTGTACGAAAGTGGCCAGTGCAGTTCAAAACAGTCTACGCATACTGAGAACGTTGGTGAACAACAAAAGGGCAACGCACAAGCGTTCCAGCCGCCATTTAAAACGCCAACACATACAATAAGCAACAGAAGCAGCACTAACAATCGCACCATGGAACATACATTTGATGATGAGAGTTTTTGGGGAGCGGAGGATTGGGAAGATGAGAGTTTGGTGGAGAACAGTCGGTCCAGAACAGAGACCAACAGAACTGCTACATCGTCTGTGAAAAGTAGGACTTCTGGTTCGGCCACTACACAAGCAAGGATGGGTGCTTCCTCGTCCAACACTGGACTTGCATCAAAAGGTATCAGGAAGGTGTTTGGTTAGCTATGTGTATAAGGGCTCAAAATACTGCTGTGAAGTACATTATACTAAATAATTTTTTTGGCTTGCCTCATTGTGTATTTCTGTGATCAGAGTGTCAGCCCTTCTTTCGTTTATCAGGCACACATCCCGGCACACTTTTGGATCCAGGAAAGTCTCCCAGAATTTCCTGTCCACTCTGCAATTATATATAGTGGGCATGGACGTGAACATATTAAGCAAAATAAAGTTGACTTCAAGTTGTTGTCATACAATACTTCCCGAAAAAACAGGTTGGGACAGTTCATCCCCATTTTGGGACAATTGAAATTTATTTTTGGGACAGTCCTGGGACAATAGGAAGAAAAGTTAATTCCGAGGTCTGCTTGTTTGTTTATTATTAGTCATACCGATGTCCTGTACCTAGCCCTTTTTTATATTCACCAGGTCCTCAGAGCCAGGCCCCCAAACGTCCGGACCCAAACGCAGAGTTTAACGGAACCCACTTCCCCCACTCCACTCGCATGACCAGTCTCTTCAACAAGGTGTTCGGTCTGCACCGCTTCAGGACCAATCAGCTCGAGGCTTGTAACGCCGCCCTGCTGGGGAAGGACTGCTTCATTCTCATGCCCACAGGTCAGCGAATCTGATGCTAGCTTTCTTAAGTTTGTAGAGTTTTTTGATCTGAAACTTAATAGACTACTTGAATGAAGGCTAAATGGCATGTACACTGATACTAAGTAACTTAATGGAATTTGAAAAGACATGGGGCATTTCAAAGATACATGTATGTTTAACTTTTAACTTAACTGTTTTAAGCTGTAGAGAACAAAGTAAAACTTTTACTACCTGTAAAGTATGTAAGAAATATGTAAATTACATTGTACAGTATTAAGCTCACATATACCAGGGGTTTTTCTAAACAGGGGAATAAGGGAGCTGCTCCCTCATGAAACCAGCCAGCTCCCTCATATCAATTTTCAGATTGAACCCTAAGTGGCTACTCTTTAAAAAAAAAAAAACCCTTGCTCGCTTCGTTCCTTGTCATGCTTGCGACCTGCTCCCTCATGCTAAACTAGAAAGAAACCTGTATACCATACAAATGTACAGTTTAACATGTCAATGGAAAAAAAATTGTCCGAATACATTTCTTGTAAGAACTGAATATCAGACTTTTTTTTTCATTACCAGAAATGAATGAAGTTTCCAGTGTACGTTAAGATTTTTTATGGCTAGTGGCTCATTGATTGTAACTGTTCCCCCTATGTTTGTGTGTTTGTACAGGAGGAGGGAAGAGTCTGTGTTACCAGCTCCCTGCGATTGTCAGCGGTGGTGTCACCATTGTCATCTCACCTCTCAAGTCACTCATTCAGGACCAGGTCTCCAAACTTAACGGTTTAGAGGTACAGATTCACACACACTCACTATCCGGTATAATGGACCTATATCATTATTACGTCACAGATTGTTTACCTGTCTAAAGAACATTCTAGAATGGTTAGTTAGAGAATAAAGAACATTTCAAAGTTTTCAAAGTCAGGTATGTTTGATTTTTGCTGCGTCTAGTTTTATTGACACAGCATTACATGCCGCATGGGTGATTTAGTTGTGACATTAGACGAAAGTAGTACTGTATTAAAATCCATATATTATTAAGGCTAACACTACACAAACACATACCACGCTACGCACCCCTGTACAATATAAACATCGATTGACCGGCATTCATTGCGGCAAACAAACTGTGACGTAATAATGTGATAGGTCCATTTAGCGTCTGTTGTTCCCAGTCTTTCGAGGGTTAGACATGCTTGTACACCAATGCTGAGGCTTGATGGCAGCCTGCCATTTGCCTCTATCCTGTGGGTTGATGTTATGTTGGTTAATGTGTTGAAAATCCTCTCTTATTGAACTTTATATAACCTTTAAGATTCTTTACTTGACCCTAAGGAAATGAAGGATTGATTTTGGCTTGTCTGTATGTGTGTATTTCTGTCTGTCTGTGTGTACATGTATATGTGTGTTTGTATGTGTGTGTCTCTCTGTTTTTATGTGTGTGTTTGTGTGTTGTATGTGTGTGTGTGTAAGTTTGTGTCTGCAATTCTCAATGATAATAATATTATGCACGATGCAATTGTTGCAATACAATCTCTGACAGTGTTGCTACAGTACTTTTGTCTGTGGGACTAGAAGCATTGAAAAACAGTATGGATAAGGTGTTGAAGTATACTTTCTCTGATTTCCTTGTTTATTTGTTATTATTTTCCCTGCAGGTGCCAGCATCTCACCTGTCAGGTGAGTTATCCGTGCAGGTGGCATCAGGTGTTTACACAGACCTGGCCAGGAGGACACCTCAGACCAAGCTCCTGTATGTCACACCTGAGAAAGTTTCTTCCAGTGAGAAACTCCTGTCCACACTCAAGAGCCTGTACCAGAGAGGGCTGCTGGATAGGTTTGTGTTGTTTACATGTACATTCGCAGAAGAAAACATGTAATATTTAGCTTCTTTTTTCTTCTTCTTCTGTTCCAAACAAATAAGGTCAACGACCTGAACCAGACGTCTGTCACCATGGTAACTGGTGCTGAAGCAGACACTTGGTGGTTTTGGATTACATTATGTAGCAAGTGACTGGACAGAGAGGCTTGTCACCATATATTTGATAGTGTGTTCATTGACTGATTGATTTGATCAAATAAGAGAAGTATGCAGAGCATCTGATATGAAAATGTAAAATGCAAAACACAGATAAATCAGGTTTAACTGTCAAGATAATTAGACAAGGTTGACGTTAAGTTGAAATTGTGTTTTTATTACTAGTACAGTGTATAACAATCATGTTGTCAAATTGCTGGCTTTCTAAGGATACTAAAGACTGTTGATCTCATATACAAATGTGTGTCTTGAACTTCCTGGTTAAACTTAATGGATGTTATATTTTCAGTGTTAGAAATACTCATCTGCAGTCTGCATTTTGTAGAGACATTTTCAATATTGCAGAAGAAAAAATTAGCAACCTGAAATTTTGCAGACTGAAAAACATCAGGCTAAGGGTGTCGGCATAACATTGTTTCTTCAAAGGCTTTTAATTTGTGTTTACTACTAGGTTTGTGATAGACGAGGCCCACTGTGTGAGCCAGTGGGGCCATGACTTCCGGCCGGACTACAAGAAGCTGTGTGTGCTGAGGAAGAGTTTTCCTGGTGTCCCCATGATGGCACTGACCGCTACAGCCACACCGCGTGTCCGGCGAGACATCCTACACCAACTTGGCATGACTGACCCCAGATGGTTTGTATCATTAAAGCTGCTTTATAAACATGTAACATTTAGGACAATATAAAGTTGAATTTTCTAGTGGTCATTTCTTCACAAAGTATGTTGAATCACCCCATTGCAAATATGTACATGTTTCAAGTGCCATTTAGGAATTGAAGGTGCCAAAATATGATACTCGTACCTTAGTGTGTCTAAAAGCTAGATGTTTGTTTACATTCTGGTACATGTAGTTTGTGGTGGTACCACAAATGTCTGAAATGTGAGATAATTACACAAATATGTTGAAAGGTGGTAGTAGGGATTCAAACTCAAAACCTTCTGAGTCAACAACTCCAACTACAAAACACGCTGCCAATATTTGAATTTAAAGTAACATGCATGTATAAAGCCTAATTATTAAAAGGACAGAAAGACATAGACTTATTACGAACATTTAAGACAATGTGATATAATAATATTAATATACAGTTCATCTAAATAAAATAGTTGACATGTTCCACAGGTTTGTACAGAGTTTCAACAGAACCAACCTGCAGTACTCTGTCATGCCCAAAAAAGTCAAGTCAGCAACCAAGGAGGTCATCGAACTCATCCACTCAAGATTCCGCAACAAGACAGGCATCGTCTACTGTTTGTCAAGGTATAGTTCTTCAATCTAGAACAGTGCTGTAACCAGCCTGGAAATTTTTTTAGTCATCTCTTTGTTTTGATGTACAGTCATGTACCATTTTGTTGAGCTGGAAAATGTCAAAATCTTGACCTAAGTCTGAAACTCAATTACCTTTATTTTGTGGGACAAGCTAGAAGACTAACTTAAAAGACTAGAAAAGTAACATTTGCAAAGCAAATGCATAATGTTTACCTTCGGATATGGTCTGCTCTGTTAATTCTTCCTCAAACACATTCACATACATGTATATCTATGGTGACAGGAGCCTAAATGCCTTCTCTAAAATTGCAACATGATGTAACCCAACACCAGTTACTATGGTGACAGACATCAACAAAAGAGGCCATTGGCCAGGTCAGAGGTTAGTGTTTGGAACAGAAGAAGAAGAAGAAGAGGAAGAAGAAATGGAGCAAAAACAATATGTTTTCCTTCGGTAAACATAATAATACACAAAGTCATGTAATAGTAAAATTGCATCTCTAAGACTTTCCAATATTTAACATCTTTACACACCAATTTTTGTTTGTGGAAGATTAAAACTTGGGCACGATTTTTTGTCCGCAATGAGCAGCAAAATTCGGAAAGACAGACACTGGCTAGAACACTGGTCTAGAATGTTTCCTCAAACTGTAAGATCTAACACATTCACACAAAAATTTTGTGGGAAGATTATGTCTCGCCTTTACTATTAAAAAAGTATTATATTTTTTTATTCATATTTAGCTGCCAAAATCATGTTTGAATGTCTCTGAAGTTTGTATGTTTGTTTGTTCCCTGTACAGAAAAGAGTGTGAGACAGTTTCGGATGAGCTGTGCAGGTCTGGTACCTCAGCCTGTGCCTACCACGCTGGCATGAGTGACAAGGACAGGATGCGCATCCAGGACATGTGGCCAGAACATTATAAGGTTTTTAAGACTTCTGCTATGTTTTTATAAAATACAGTATAGTATTACATGCATCCAGTGGTTTAGATGATTTATTTTTGGATTGAAGTTAATTGTAATTTTGCTGGGTTATTCTCTGGAATGATTGATGGACAATTCTCAGACTAATTTGTATTATTAAGAAAATAACTAAAAGTTTCTTCTGGTACTGTCAGCATTATTTTTTCATAAGTCAGTGAAGGAGGAGGTAATTCTGTTGTCTTGTTGAATAGCATTATTCACAACGGTTCCCACTTTTTTTTTACCAAGAGCTGATGTTTCGCTGACTGTCTGTCAAATTCATCAGGGCTAATATGACTGAAGATGACATCACATCAGAATATAGACATACATGTGTATGGTGAAGATAACAGATGGCCATCGAAACATTGGCTCTTGTTAAATAAAAAAAAACTAGAGTAACATTTGCAAGCAAATGCATAATGTTTACCTTCGGACTGCTCAGTTAATTCTTACTCAAACACATTCACATATATCTACTACTAGTATATGGTGATAGGAGCAGAGCAGACCATGAAATTGCAACATTATGTAACCCAACACCAGTCACCATGGTGACAGACGTCAACAAATCATGTCATTGGTCAGGTCAGAGGTCACTGTTTGGAGAAGAAGAAGAAGAGGAAGAAACAGAGCAAAAACAATAATGTTTTCCTTCGGTAAACATAATTAAAAGTTGTTGTGAATAAAGAACTTTGATATTCAATCATTCACCAACCTGATGCCTTGTTGTTCCTCATAGGTTATCTGTGCCACAATTGCATTTGGAATGGGAATAGACAAGCCTGATGTCAGGTTTGTTATCCACTACTCCCTGCCCAAGTCTGTTGAGGGTTACTACCAGGAGTCAGGGCGTGCTGGGAGGGACGGAGAGGCATCAGACTGTATTCTGTTCTACAACTATCACGACAAGATGAGGATGCAGAAGTTAATCCACAGTAAGTCCTGACAAGCTTTCCTCTACAGTCCTTTATTCTTCATGGCCATTGAATACACACAAAGTTATAGTGTGACATAAACTAAACCTAGAAATTCAGTTGCACAGCAAAAATTAAGTGCACAAAATAAAATAAAGTAGATTGTAAACATATGACTTTGTACATGTAACCAAAACCTAAATGCAAGTCTTTTGAAAACTACAATGAAGCCACACTCCAAATTTTTAGAGGGTTTTTCTGACAATGAAAGAGTCTGAATATGTTGTATGCTTGTTTGTACTACTGTACATGCAGCTACTGTTGCAACTGCACATGCAATACATACATTGTACAGTCACTGTTGCAGCTTAATTGTTGTGATTTGATATTGTTGAGTGAGTGTACAAAGTCAATTGAACATGTTCTTTTAATTGTTATCAGATCTTTGAAATTGTACATGTATATTATTTGTCTTGACTTTTTTTAAATGAATGTTGATTGAAAAATGTTAGGTCACACAGACAGTCTCTTTATATTTTTAAAAACTATGAATATGATCTAAACTTCCACTCCCATTGAACACGGAAGCCAAACACACAATGTAACTGTTTCTTAACATCCATTCCAACCTTCAGTGGATAAAGAAGCGACGTATGAGTCTAGGAAGGTGCACATGGACAACCTGCTGCGGATGGTTCAGTACTGTGAGAATGAGTCAGACTGTCGGCGGGCACAGCTCCTGCACTACTTCGGGGAGACAGACTTCAACCCTGAACTCTGTACCAGCGACCCCAGGACTACCTGCGATAACTGCAAGTCTGAGGTAGGTGGAAAACTTGATTCTAGATTTTTACAAAAATGTACCTTACGTCGATGAAGGTTAGACATCCAGGCAATACGATACGCCAAAAAGCAGTTACTCAGTCACTAACGAAAGCTAGTGGATAATAGCTGAAATGTCTGACCGTTTCCAAAATCATATCCAGTTTCCAAAATCATATCCAGTTTTCAATCAGACATTTTCCTGAAATGTCTGACCGTTTCCAAAATCATAACCCTCGGAAGACTGGGAACAACAGACGATAAACCGGACAGTGAGTGAGTGAGTGAGTGTTGCTTGAGTAACTGTTTTTTGGCATAAAAATATGTACCTTCTTTGCCAAAAAATAATGTTTTGTGTTTGGTAGCAATAATTGTGATTGTGATTTGGTTTGTGGTTCAAAGACAATATTACATGTACCTCACAAAGCAGTGTTTGATTCTGCAAGTATGCCCCCTAGCAACTTTTTGAGATTCTGCAGCTGCAGCTGCAGAACAATTGGTATGGTGTTAGGTTTTTGGTGATAAATAGTGGCCTTTGTGCTACTACATTGTAGTTTAGGTGCCAAAATATATTGCCTTTTTAGTTATAAACAAACTTAAAAAACGCAGCTGTCAGCTCTGTTTGTTTACATTTTGGTAGTTTGTGGTGGCACTTTAAATTAAGTGTGCCTCATGTGGGCTGCACCACTCATAAATCTCGTGTGAAATATGGGATAATTGCACAAATAGATTAAAATAATACATTGGAAGTGAATTACAATCACACTAACTTACTAAGTCTTATAGTATTGACTTGAATAAAATTTTTTTAGCTTTTGGTGCAAGAATGTTACATAATGCGCCTTTAAGAAGTTTTACCACGTCTTTCCTTCAGGGTGCGTTTGAGATTTGGTGCAAAATGTTACATAATGCACCTTTAAGAAGTTTTACCACATGTTTCCTTCAGGGTGCGTTTGAGATGAAGGATGTGACAACAGAAGCTAAGATGGTGGTGGAGTTTGTGCGCAGCGTGGGGGGGAACAGCGGTGCCGGGAACGGCAGACGAGGCTGGGGAGTGCAGGGGTACACTCTCCTGCATGTCACAGACGTCTTCAAAGGTCCTAATCTTTTAGTTTGTCATCCTCCTTTCCTATATGTCCAATTCAGATTTAAATAACAATTGTACAGTCAAACTTGTCTAAGACAACCATCCAGGGGACCTAAGAAAGGTAGACTTCCTATAGAGATTCAAGTTGTTTTTGTATACAAAAAGCATGGCAACAAGACAAGACAGAAGATAGCAATTTTCAAACGTTTTACAGTGCATTATTGACCCAAAGTGACCCAGTCAGTGTCATTTTTATGCGCAAAGACTAAGTGTTTGTAGGGTTAAAAAAAGACCGTGCAACTCTTTCCAGATACAGCAAAATTGAAAACAGTAATGTTCTCTCAAACAACAATTTATACCTTTGATACTGCAGGCTCATCCAATAAAATGCATTTGGATACAGACCATCACAAGTATCCCATGTACAACTACGGTGAAACTTTTGCTTAAAAATAAAAAACAAAACTGAAAGCCATGAAATCTCTCATACTGTTTTGCAGGATCTTCCAACAAGAAGGTGATGGACACAGATCACCACAAGTACCCCCTGTACAACTACGGAGCCACCTTCTCCAGACACGACGCAGAGAGACTGATGCGTAAGCTGGTGACAGAGGGAGTGTTGGCGGAGGACCTCCACGTCGTCCCTCGTGTGGAACAGGTCGTGGCGTACGTCCGACTGGGACTCAAGGCAGACGCTGTCGTCAGTGGGAGGATGAAGGTAAGATTGAATATTAGGCCATGTTGATTTGATTATATGGATGACATCCGCGCGCGCATGAATTTTCGGCCGTTTCCAAAAAAAAAAAGTTTTCAACCATACTGTAAATCGTACAAAACAGCAGGCCTCGAAATTAACTTTTTTCACTATTGTCCCAGAATTGTCCCAAACATAGATTTCAATTGTCCCGAACTGAAGATGGACTGTCCCAGCCTGCTTTTCACGAAATAAGTTGATGACAAAAATAAGAAAACAACTGAATTTGTACAACTTGAAGTCCACTTTATTAGTAAATGTAGGGAAATACATGATAATATCATGGGCATGGCACCGTCCCTGATATTTGGAATCCCTGATTGGTCAAATTTAAATGTTTGTCAGAGTATTATATATTTATAGGCTGCCAGCAGTCTGCAGCAGGATGGATGGATCGCGTTCCCAAATGACGTGGATGGTCTTAGAATTTTCCAATTGCCCCAAAATTGTCCCGAAACGTAATTTGAATTGTCCCAAGCTGAAAATTTAGTGTCATTTGACACTGGGACAATGTTAATTTCGAGCCCTGAACAGTTGCAAAATGAGCAAAAATATACCATAAGTTACACAAAAAATTAAGAAAAACTATACCAATGTCGTAGAATGCCAAAATCAAACGAAAGAAGATGAAATTGTAAAGAAATGAACTTGAAGACTAGATTATTCGCCAACCCATATTCTGTGCCATTTGCTCAACCCTCATGAGAGGGTAGATTTCATAATGAAAAGAACTTTTTTTTGCAAAACTTTTTTTTTTATTCGCACGCGCGCATCAGTTTTGGGGCTCCCGGAGGATGTCATCCATATAATCAAATCAACATGGCCTTATTCAAAGTAAGTATCTTAAGTAATCTTAAGTAAGATTGAATATCATTTAAAATACTGTAAATCACTTTACACATTTGCAGTAGCAAATTGCAGAGTCTCTTTCAACTATATGTTTGCGGTGGTGGCAGGAGCAGAAGAAAAAAAGTTGGCAAATTATTTGTTCTCAGCATTGATAAATTCACATTACATGACATACATGTACTTGACCACAAAAACTAAGAATATAAATGTACTGCAAACATAAAGTTCTTTAGTCACAACCACGTGTTTACAATAGCCAACCCTTCAATGATATGCAAATACAATCTTATTCATTTTATTGTATAATTGTTCGCAATTTCAATAAATCAAATCAATCTTAAACGAAACGTTCTACAGAAGCGCAGTGTGTCTGACGACGTGCTATGTACTCATTTTTGCCTATCACTATAGTATCAGTCAAGTGACACAAAGTGGGTGCAAAGTCTTAACGTTAGGAGGAAAATTGGGTCTCCCTTCAATCTGCCATTTTCAATAGTTCTTGTACTGATTTTAATACTGTATCATAAGAAATGTTGTGTCCTTGTTTTGTCCTGATCAGGTACACCTGGCTATCAGGAGAGATGGGCAGCGGGCAGTGGTGGCTAAGAACCAGGACAGTAATGCTTCTGTGTGGGAGAAACTCTTCATCGAACTACAGGTACTAAAATCATGGAACTTCATCTGTGTTGGTAGTAATCATAGTACGATGCTAAACTTTATTTAGACATAATGGTACACAAGGATCAAGTTTTCAACGACCACTGCCACCTTCATCATGATTGTTTGTTTAGTTGCACAACAGCAATAAAATTATACATGATACACTAATAATAAATAAAACAGGTGCAGGAGGAGGGGAAAAAAGCTTATTTAGCTTATGCTTAAAGCCCTCCTCCTCTATACTAACCAAAACTAAACATAATTGAAATGAAATAATACATACATACATAAGGAATTGTTAGCAAAATGATTCAAACATAGGCAAAATGAAACAATAACAATAATGAAACAATAGTATACATAAAATAAAAAGATCATAACCTGCAAGAGTTACAGACACGTGATCTTATTTGCATAAGACTTTACAGATATACAAATGTACATGTATGTGATGTTAGCAATTGGTTCAGCATTGTACAACTGTCAATGAAGCCTGCCTGTCAGAAAACACTTTTCCTTATCAATGTTCTTCTTTGAACTCACAGAAGAGATGATAAGTCTGATGCTCTTGAACTAGTTGTTCATACGGTATACTGTACTTTTTCTACAAGTTACTTAACGTCTGTGCTACCATTCTGTGCCACAGACACTGTGCAAGGACCTTGCCCATGAGAATAGCGTCCAGCCTCACCACATATTCCCGCCGCAAACCCTGCGCGAGATGTCCCGCAAAGTGCCACGGAACGAGCACGACATGTTGGAGATTGACGGGGTGTCCGAGAGGAAGCTCTACAAGTTTGGGCCACAGTTTCTGGATGTCATTGACAACTTTGTCAAGAATAACCCAGGTATTCCCTCCATCAACTGTGCAAACAATGTTAACTCTGATTAGTTTGTTTTATTATTAATTGTGTGAATAATTGTAAATTTCCTTTCATGCTGTTATAACTTATGTGTGTTCTTTTATGATGTTACAAGAATCTGTAGTATGTTTTTATTTTGTTTGACCAGCTTAAATGTATTGAAATAAAGACGATAAAGACAAACAAAATACATGTACATCGTACACTTGTAGGTCAATGACCTAGACCACAGGTCTGTCACCATGGTAACTGGGGCTGTTGCAGACATCCTGTGATGTTGGATTACATTATGTAGCAAGTAGCAGGACAGAGTTGGTGTCACCATATATGAATGTGTTTTAAATAAGAGTAAAAAGAGCAGTACTTTGTTAGGCTATACCATGTGAGGGTTAACATTAATAGGCATTTTATTTACAAATGTTAGTTTAATTTCTGGTTCTTGTTTCTATGTTATGTAGAAGTGACCATGAAGCCCCAGCCCAAGCCTGCAGCAGCTGCCAGTGCCTCTCCCTACTTCCAGGGGAACCAGTACCAGTACAAGGGGAAGGGAGTGAAGAGGAAGCGGGGGGGTGGGGGCGGTGGTGCTCGGAATAAACGGATCAAACAGTCCAGGAAACAAGGGTAACTATCCGGTTTAGGTCTTGGATACAGTACTGTCTTTACCTTTCTTCGCTAGCCCCCAAAAGTGTCAGAACACAAAAAACCTTCTTCTACAGGTCCGTCCAACTGTGGAACTCTCTTCCACAGGACACCCAGACAGCTCCATCCCTAGCATTATTCAAAGCTAAAGTATGGCTCTCCCTTGGAGACCAGTTTTCTGTATAAGACAGCACACACATGTATTCTATTTGCACCAATTGTACGGTACGTAATAATTTTATTGTATCATATGTAATTTGTATATATTTATGACCATAATTTATGTATGTAACCACATTTTTTTTCCCAGGGCATGCCCTTAGTAATAGCTTCTAGCTAGTTGCGCTGCCCTGGCTGTCTTGTATCAGCCAAACCAATAAACAATACATGTAGATCATACAACGTGTACCAGTAAGTCTTTTATACTGTCCAGGGTTTTTTCTACAAAAATTTAGCACGAGGGAGCAGATCGCAAGCATGACAAGCAATGAAGCGACCGAGGGGGGATTTTTTAAAAAGAGTAGCCACTTAGGGTTCAATCTGAAAATTGGTATGAGAGAGCTGGCTGGTTACATGAGGGAGCAGCTCCCTTATTCCCCTGTTTAGAAAAAAACCCTGCTGTCTTACATGTACATGAAGATACATGTACCAAGCATACATATACTTATAGTTATACCTTTATATTTGTACATAACTATTCTGAAATATGATAACTACGTGTACACGTATGATGATGTTTGTGTCTAGCAGCCAGATTTTCAATATATACTTTGTAGTTTTAGAAGCTTTTAAACTGTTACCATTATCCTGTATAAGATGTTAATTCCTTTTTTTTTCGGAAATTTATAATTTCCTTACACGTGAGTGAAATGAATGACTGACTTGAAGAAAATTCTCACCTTCTTGCTAATCAGATGTTGAAATTTGATGTCAAATTTACAGAGGCGGTGCAAGGTTTAAGGGGAAAGGGAAAGCGACCAAGAGAGGACAGAGTAACAGTTACAGTGCAGCAGCGACCTCTACTGGTGCTTCAAGGAACTCCAGCACAGTGAGGGGAGGGGCACCGGGAATGATGCCCATGCCAGCCCCTGGCCAGAAAAGGAGCTTCCTACAAGGGCAGTTTGGTTACATGAATACATAATTGTTGCAATGGTGAGACTTCCTCCTTGTACTACAAGTTGTAGCATTTGTCTGATCTCCAAGTCCAAACCTATTTTACAAAAAAATTGATATTTTTAGCTGATAGATGATGGTTCATTTTCTTTATTCACCAGTATAAATAATTTTGGAAGATTTTTAAGATATGTTGTGAAGAATTAACAGGTTGATTATTATGATACTTATACTTTTAAATATTTATGATACTTTTAAAATTTTGTCCATTTGGGTATTGGTACATGTATGGTGTATGGCATGAGGTGCATGTATGATATCCAGTATCGGTGCACAACAGCAGGGCTCGAAATACTTTTTTCAGCCAGGTGGCGCATGTTGCCACCTGAGTCAAAAGCCAGGTGGCGCCATCAGTATTCAAGTGGCAACACTTCCAAGTTATCATTTTCTTCAAATCTGCTACTTATATCTATTACGTTTTCTTCTAGTTAACTACTTAAGTTTTATGTTATAAAATAAAGTAATGTAAAGAACACAAAAGCTCTCAAACAACAATGTTTTAATAAAGAATGCCACCTTTTACATGTCTTCATCACAGGGCTGCCGCCGTGGGAATGCCACGCCTCTACATGGCGGCACACTTATGCGGGTGGTGTTACGTGCGCCATGTTCTTCGTTTGCGCAAGGATAATGTTACTCTCATCTGCCAAATAAACACTTTTCCCTCGGAATAAACATACCCCCCGGACAAATCTTCAAAATCTAATAAAAAATGGTATTAGCTCCCTTGATTTAAAAAAAAAATTGGGCATAGGTTCCCCGGATGACCCCTAACCGGGGGCCAACGGTGCTTCCACAAGTTTAACAAGTGAAAAATACATGATACAAATTGTACATGTACTTATTACCTGGAACTTGGAGCAAGTATTCCTAAGGTGTTACGGACATAATTAATATATACCAAACTTTTTAACCCAATCATATTTCCCAAACAAAATCACATATTGACACAGCTAAACAAATAAAAATGTGATTATATCTATAAACTCATACTAAAAAAAAATTTTAGAGACACTCAATAAAGAAAGTAAGAAAGAAAGAAAGCATGCTCTTAATATCTGATTCTCCCAATTGTAAAAGCCCCCACAGCATCCAACCGCACATTCATAGAAACAACATTATATTCTGACACTAGAAACCAATAAATTCGGAAAATTTCACGGTAATGTTTACAAATTAACCTTTTAAAAATACGAGTGAATTTTTATTTCTGTCGTTGCCGAAAAAAAATTTTTCATGCGTGTAATACTAGTACATGTATCTTGGACGCTTGGATGCTATCTTCACCTTTGACCACATTGTTGGAAGCAGCGTCGGCCATTTTCATTCTGTCTTTCGAGCTGTTTTTCCGACAAATTTCAACCGTTTTAACATTTTACGGCCTCAGAAACTCATATAACGACGAAAACAAGTTGTAGTTGTTATTTTCATGCGTAAAATTTCTTCTGGGGATGGATTATTTTTCCGCCGAGCCGCCGAAAACTTAGCGTCGCATGCGGTCGGTCGGGCGGCCGGCAGGATTTTGTATCGGCGCGCTTTGCATGTAAACAAGGACAGTCGGAGTTGTTTACATGAAAATTGTGTTGTGAAACGCCAGCGAGGTGTCTGATTTTCTACCAATGAGAACGTTTTCTTTGTGGCGTCATGGCGAGATCGACAATTCATCGACAATTCACAAGATTGTGCCGACAATGGGGCCCGATCCATGCGATTAGCGGCTCGATCCACGCAAATTATAGGTGGCGCGCTGCGCCACCTGAGTTTAGGAATAAGTGGCGCCAAGCAAAATCAGGTGGCGCCGCGCCAGTGCGCCACCGGGTATTTCGAGCCCTGACAACAGTTACACATATGTACTCTGGCACACACAGAAAATATCTACCGGTAAGCTCACTATAAAAATAAGGTAAAAACAAGTTTATTGTTTGTAGTTTTGAGATAAATGATTGTATTTTACATGGCATTATGGTAAACGATACTCAAAACACTTTATTAAGCTAACATTTGTATACATAACATGTATCTCAATGTATGTTGCTTGTTTGGTTCAGTTCAATAAAAATTTTCAGAAACAATTATGTTTGTAGTGCAGTTGACCAATATTGGGAATGTTATTGCCTTCAGATAACTGCATTTTTCTGAGGCATGTACATCTACAATGTACTTGTACATTGTCACACATTGTGTTTCGAAGTTAACACTTACAATGAATAACTGCACGTGTTGCCTTTCTAGTTCAAATGAATTAAAACTGTAAAAATGTGGGAAGGGAAGTAAATTAAAATCTGCTGGATGTCTGGTTTTCTACAGATAACAAACCCGATTTGTAGATCCCTCCCCTTGACTTAAGCCTTGGTCACAACCCGCCGTACACGGGAGGCTACGTTTTTTCTGAAAACGTGGGGAGGGAGTGGCGTCGACGCACGTCACTCGCACGGTTTCGCAAGGTGTAAGAGTGGGGTCTGCACGCCACGTCTGGCCGTGAGGGGTTGCGTGCATCGTTCGTTGTGCAAGTGGTAAGTGAGTTGTACGTTCTTACAACGTACGATCTCTGTGAGATTGCAACTTTACCATAAGGAGGCCGTACTCACACGTGCTTCTTCCGTACGACACGCACATACGGGTGGTGAATCCGCAGACCGCACATAGAAAAAGTTTTACATGCACTTAAAGTTCTACGGCGTGTCTGCGTGCTCCAAAATCCGTAGGATTCCGTACGGAGGTGGTACTCACCACGCACGGATGCCCTACGTTTGCCCACGTTTTTGCACGTAGACAGCGCGCAGAAGCACGTACGGCGGGTTGTGACCGAGGCTTAACTCACAGCCCCACCACCCTCTGATTCTGAGACATCCAAGGCATCTCCTCACTTCTGTACCACTTCACTTCCTCGATCATGGCCAGGTTGTGGAACTTCACCACCGCGCACCCAAAACTGCTGACGTATTCGGGCAAAACGTCCGGCAACACCGTCCAGTACGCAAGCTCCGGATCGTACATCAAGATATGGTTCCAAAAGTCACCCTCCCCCTCCCCCCCAAGAACGAAGATCTTGTTCTTCAAGGTGACGATCCCTGCTGCGCAGATTTCCTTCGGAAGGTGTGGTCCGAACGACCAATAGTTTTCTTGCGGCCGGAAGACTTCGGTTGCGCTTAGGACGTGTTCTGGGTCGGAAAAGCTTAGCCAATTCTGCGTGAGTTCTGCGAACCCACCCATGATGTAAATGGCGTTGTCTAGCACCGTTGCCATGGCCAGGGCACGAGGGATCTGCATGGGAAGATCTTCGAACCAGCGGTCGAGATTGGGCAAGTACTTGTACACGCGGTTCGACAACGTACGCTGCATGAGGACATTTTCGACCTCCCCACCTAACACGTAAATGACGCCGTTAAACATCACAGTGGAGTGACAACGCATTTTCCTGGGCAAGGGACAAAGCTCCTGCCACTCCTTTTTGACGAGGTGGTACGCCTCGACACTAGACAGACTGGTACCGTTGCTGTCCCCGCCGATAGCGTAGAGATGTGTACACGAGGCGACCAGCCCAAACTGTGTACGAGGGTGTAACATGGAAGGCTCCTGCACCCACTCATTCTTCAGTATGTCATATCTGGAAAGTAATTGTAACATTCTGTTAGATGTACAATGAATAACTCTTACACTGCACAAATCTATTTTGTTGCTTCTTCAGGCCACACAAATTTAATTTGTAGTTTAACGGATTCGCCTGCTTAATTTTTCATGATTTAAAAAAAAAAAAACATTTCAGCCTCTGAATCAACTCCAAAATGCTCATATTTTGACCCCAACAGTTGAAGGAAGCCCTTTCTCTTCAGAGTTGTTACAGTTTTTCCATCTATATGTATCAATGCAGCAGTTAGCTTAAAAGTTTAAAATTCATTGTTTAAATGACAGACAGTACAAATTACCCAGCCTGGTACCTTGACTTCATGGCTCCTATCATATCATTTTGAGGATATCATAGGATGCCTAAGTCTGTTTTCATTTTTTTTGCCCTGTCGCTTCATTTTTTTTTTCTGAAAAAAATCCGAGAACGAACAAAATCAAATACAAAGTAGGTGTGCCCAATGATAAGTTTTCCAACATACATGTAACTGAAAATGTTGATCCTTGAATGCACAAATATAAACAGAGACGTTCTGCTAAAGTGCTACTAGTATACAAAAATAGTCACATTACGGGTTTTGTGCAGGTGCAGTACGCTCTGCTGACATTATAGTCAATCCCCACCTGTAGAGATCGTTGGAGACCGTCTCATTCTTCAATGTCCCCCCAGCCACGTAGAGAGTGTTAATGACAGCTGTGACCACCCCAGGAAACATGACAGATTTGGGCAGGGGGGGCAGGCATGCCCACTTCTTGTCCAGGGGGTTGTAGCAGTCCACCACATGCTGGTTGTCTCCCCCTTCTGTGTTCTCGCGAGGTTTTAGGTCCACACACACGATGGCATCTGTGTTGAACATGCCTGTAGAGAAAATACAATGAAAATTAATCATTAAACTACTGTGCTAGGGCTTCAAACCTAAACTTAACATCAGGTACATTTGGTACAGGTACTAAGTACTGAGGTGTAGGTACATGTGTACAGGTCAGGACCTGCCAAACCTACCAATCTTAAACGATGTTTGGCTGAAAATATGCCACTTCAAAATCCCAAAAATAACCATCATTCAATTGAACGAAACTTAGCTGTTCAACGTAAAAGTTAACACTAGTGGTATGTTAGACAATAATCACATATTATTGTAAGGAAAATTTCCCTTCCATAATATCTTGTTTAATTTCAACTGTTCTGTTTTCTATGGATAGCCCAAATATTGTGTCTACGTAACACAATCTTTTCTGAATGCACCTAGCAATGGGAAAGAATACCCTAGCGACCGACTGTCGTGATCCCTATCGTAGTTGTTCTTTAAACAAAAGATGTACATCAGCATGAAAGTTCATCTGAGTTGGTAAATTACATTACGAAAGATTATATTTAATCTGTTCTCCAACTCAAACTTTGACTCACCGGAATTTTTGACTGAATCACTCAGTCTTCCTCAGCTATCTGACCCAAATGCTGTGGACACATGATTTTTCCCACGTGTGACGTCAGCAAAGGGTCAAAGGTTGTCTGAAGTCGATATCACCTCCCGTCCCAGTTGAGCGATGGTTGAAGTGCCCTGATGTATATGGCCTCTTTGCTGACGTCACACGTGGGAAAAATCATGTGTCCACAGCATTTGGGTCAGATGGCTGAGGAAGACTGAGTGATTCAGTCGAAAATTCCGGTGAGTCAAATTTTGAGTTGGAGAACAGTTCAAAAGATGTAGAGTAAAGGACGATTCTCACCGAGCCTAGGAATGGTGTTAAGGTTGAGCTTGTTGCGTCTGTCCTTCAGGATGTGGAACTGTTTGACCCTGTCCAGATACTGGACACACTCTGGACTGGACATGACCAGTTCTTCCTTCTCCACACGGTCAAACAGGTAGTCAGGCGGCAGGAGAACCAACCGGACGTACTTCAGGACATCTAAAAAAAAGGAGACAACAGCATTAGGCAATCAGAGATGGCAGACTTCACCCACAAACCCATACTGCGTGCATATTGTGACCTGATCAAATTAAACAGACAAAAGGCAGCTTAGGCCTCATCAATTTGATAAATTGGTCCTCGGATTCACCTGCTTCATTTTTTTTTCTGATTTGCCACACACACACAAACACACCCACACACACACACACAAAACAAAGATTCATGTCATGAATCAACTCCAAAATGCTTTATATATTTTGGCCCAAGCAGGAAAGTTGGACTTGTCTTCATAGTTACAGCTTTTCCATCTATCAGTATCAATGAATAATTATTGGTTTGATGAAAAGTTTAAACCAGCTTGGTATGGTGCATTCATGGCTACTATCATAGCTTTTGGATTCCTAGGCTTGTTTTTATATTTTTTCATTTCATGTTTTCCTGAAAAATCTGAGAACCAACAAATAAGTAAAAATACTAAAATACATGTTTATAAAACACTCTACCTGCTGTATACTGTTTCCTCTGAGGGACGTCATACTTGAGCCAGCTCATCGCAGCCTCAAACACGATTTCTTCTCGTTCCACCTCCAACATGTCTGAGAAGATAATGTCCATCAATCTCTCCTGGTCCATGTGTAGAAACTCCTCTTCTTTACGCACTGTGTCGAAGTTGAAGTTGATCCACTGTCGAGCGCCGTCTCTCAGCATCGAAGAGTTGTGCGTGTCACCAAAAATCCACATCCCTATACAGTTGGAATTGCTCACTCTTTCAAACATGAAGTTCCCGCAGTCTTCCACCAGCATTGTCAGTTGGAGCATGTTCGCCGCTACGAGCAACCTCTCGACGTTATCTTCCGTTATTTCGACCTCCGTCGTGTAGATGTATGACAAAATCTTCTTCATGGTTCCCGCGTCGATTCCCGTGATTTCGACCTCTCGCTGGTGGCTCTCCGCCAATCCGTTGGTGAACATGGCGAAGAAATACGGGCTAACAGAAGCCAGGACGTTGCGATGGCAGGAAAAACGCTCTTTACCGACTTTTAGAACCACGTCCGTGAGGAGACCACTGCTGTAAAGTTTTCCCAGTCCCTTGTGGAGTTCTGTACTTAACCTAGAGTCTTGTATGGTGTAGCTATCGTCATAAGGCTGGGTATCATGATTGTCGCTTGGTTGTTGTTGTTGTTGTTGTTGTCCAGTTGAAGTAGGGTCAGTTGTGTCAGAGTTGTTGACAGCAAAGTTGTGCTCTTCCCAGTTTCCTGGGTTATTTTGTGGGTCGTTTTCTGGTGATGCCATTGCTTCAGTTTATAATTCTGCTACTGTAGTAACTAAAAACACCTGTGGCAAAAGAAGCAACAAAAATATTAGTTTTCAGGAAGTGATAACAAAGTTATTACTAGTATTAAGTAATCACTTATGTACTGTAATACTAAATAGTACCATGTTGAGAATACTACAAATAATGCCCCCCCTCCTTTTGTTTATCACTTTATAATAATAATCAAGAATTTCTTGATCGTTAAGAAAGTAATATTACATATCTTCAGAGGTGTACTATACTAGTCTAGGTTATGAAGTGAAGTTTATGATACCAGGAGTTCCTTTGTAATACATATTCTAGTCACTAACCTCAAACAAAGCCCATTTTTCCCGTACTTGTGGCGAAATGATCATGTTGTTTTTGCTCAGACGAGTCCACACATAAAAAAGGGACCCAAACTTTATTGCCCTTTAAAGAGATAATGTAAACATGTTTATTTCACACAAAGTATTAGAGCTATAAATTTACGGAGAATATTTAGTACATACCGAGAATATATGTATGTTTTGAACAGAAAAAAGCCTTGGGTATTAAACGTAAAATGTTTGAACAGCTGCTACAAAGGTCTTTCCTCCCCTATTTATTCAAGTCGTATGATCTAAAGGTCATGGCGATGGAATGACCTTTAGGTTAAGCCACTATTGAATATAGGGGTATTTTTAAAATAAATCCAATATGAATTATAGAATTGTATATTAAAACTACATATTAAAAATTATTTTATTACTACTTTTATGAATAAAGTGAATGTTTTTTTTATATTATCTTGTAGTAATAACTTTCCTAAAAAGTATAACCTCCCTATGTGAGAATGGACTAATCCTTCACGTGTTCATCCTCTTTCGCAAGTGCCAGCCATCTTGGAAGTCGTGGTCAGCTGTACCAGGTGAAAAATTCCGTCTTTTCTTCGATTTTCCCGGAACATAAGACAGTCCCCTGTGTCTTATAATTACGAAGACATTTCTGAGGAACTTTTTGTTTTAATTTATTGACAATACGTCTTAAGATAGTCATTTTATTGGTATTTTTACTTGCTAAAAATCATCGTGTTTCATCTATTTGCTGACGACATGCCATGCAATCTGACTTTCTGAGCTGAGTGTTCAAAAACCGCATTTTAAAAAAGATGTTTAATATGACAATATGGCAACAGTCAATGCAGAAAATAAGAATCTATGTACACCTACATGTACTACATATAAACCCAGTACGTGGACTAGTGCAAGTTAGGTACAGGAAGACATCAGAAAAATTTTATACCTGCACTACACTAACCTGCATATACATGATCTGGTATAATACAATAAGGCCACACCAATTTAATTTCTTGGTTAACGGATTTTTCTAGAAAAATAATGGAGAGGGCGGGCGAAAAAAAAAAAACAGGCCTAGGCATCCTATTATGGCCCAAAATGGTATGATAGGAGCCATGAAGTCAACACACTGGTTCAAAATTCACACATTGAATTTTGAACTTTTAATGATACATGTACCACTGCATTGAAAGATGGAATAACTGTAACAACTAGGAAGAAAAGAATTGTTTTCAACTGTCCAGGGCAAAATAAGAGCATTTTGCAGTTGATTCTGAATTTTTTTTTTTTTTGCAAATCAGAAAAAAATGAAGCGGGCGAATCCATTAACCAAGAAATTAAATTGGTGTGGCCTAATCTAATTTTTCTGTATATGGAAAATTATACTTTGGAAATTATAGTTTCAATGTTTGTCTAATGTTACATCTAGATACATATTTATGATATTTTACACTGATGTTTCTCTGTTATATTTTCAGAAAGATTTCATGTCTGTCCCGTCTGTCTCTATTATCTATAGAACAGAACTGGTTTTCCAAATAAGGTCACCAGATTAAGTGTACTAAATAATAAAACTAATTATATTCAAAATACTTGCAGAAATCTTACTTCCTTATAATGCTAGCATGTTTGTTTTTTTATTGATTTCTGTAGTGTTGAATTTGGTTTTAAGCTTGAGGATGAACTGATGAAGATTATAATATTAATCCTAATCAATATCCTAATCAGCATGTAAAATATACATGTAAAACTATTACAATTAGTCTGTTTGACTCATTCCATTTAGTACTAGTAAGTAGTATCTGTCCACTTTTAATTTTAAAGTTTAAGGCCTGGCCTCTTCTATTGTATGATTGCAGTTACTGATGGCAAAAAATTCTCTAGATAGTCATGTATTTGTCATACAAAATTTTGTATATTAGATGTACAATGCACATGGTGTACAGTACTAGCCACACTCTAAATCTGAAAGACGTGACTTTGGCTAAAGCCTAGGGTCTAAGTCTCTGTGAAATATTTTAAAGCTCGTAACCCTCTGAGATATTTTGAGGATAAAATTATTTAATTGATGTTTTCCCTGTATAGCTTCATTCTGAGATCAAATTATAAATATTATCAAAGATTTGCAATTTCTGACTTGTTGAAAGACAGTGTAGGGGGCCCATACACTCAAACAGCCTAGTGAGAACACTGTCTATCTAATTTGGCTACTAAGTAATTTCTACCATTTTGTTGTTGCTTCTGAGGCCTGATAGAGCACTTTCCTCTTGTGTTCTCTACTCACCTCACCCATCAGATTTAAATCCAGACATAAGAACAAAGAATATCAAAAAAGCAAACAAAGTCTGTACTACAGCATTTCAAATCTTTAACACACATTTTGCTCTCTCCGTCTGTAGCTCCGAGTGCAACATGACGGTCCCCAACACGCTCACCCCGCAGAACATGGACAGTGTGGAGCCTGTCTGGTTTGACCGCTTCCGTGTGGAGGAGGCGGAGTACAGGTACCAGCAACACCTCGCTGACCAGCACTCCGGACTCGTGGTCAAGGTCAGTTGGGTCAAAGTTAGCCTGGCCACATTACACTTCTAGCTGCCCTTTGACAGGACAGGCCCCTAGAAGCTTTATGGTCAACTACGAACATTCTACCTATTAATAATTTTTTTCTGCATTATGTACTGACAATATTTTCATTGTACATGGACTAGTTATTGTTATAACTGAGAACTTTCTGTTACCATGGTGATGGAGGATGTGATGACTGGTTTCCATAGTGATAGAGGGAATGCTGAGCTCCTATTGGTAGTTCTGTGAATATAAATGGTTCTGTCAAATTATAATAGTAGAAGTTAGTATACGTATAAAGTTAAGTTGACTGGTGATGTAATTGCAATAAACTTTTGGCATGTCTGTGTATGTTTTTGCAATCCCCAATATACACTGTGCAGCCAAATCCACACTGGCCAGTGCTGCTATTTTTTCTTTAAAACTAAAAGGTTTCCAATGCATGCAGCAAAAGTATCTCAAATATGGTACTTGTATGTTAAGAAAGCTGTGTTCTGTTTAAGGAGCTTCTAAGGTCCTTGGTTCTGTTGGTGTGTGTGTGTGTGTGTTTGTCCGTGCATTTGTTGGTATATGTGTGTGTGCCTCTCAACACTGATCAGTTCATAATGGTACTTATACATTCAAATGTAAGTAGTTACATGCATTACTAGTAGAAGATGCTGCATGCGGTTGTAATGCCAACACAACTAAGCCGCCCTGATCCTGACTCCAACTCTCTCCTTGCTACCCTCTGCTTGCTAGAAGCGGAAAAATAGAAACCGGGTGAGTAGCCTGTATGCAGCAACCAAGATATTAGATGTATCACTCAGTCAGACTATCCATGCACGTCGTATGTACTTTTCCTGGTGACTTTACAAGGAAGATGCGCTCCTGTATATTTAACAAATTCAGCATTATCACAAGTTTTTTTACAAGGAAATTCATCTGCCTATGGTGGGTAAGAGATGTGTTAATTTGTAATACATGTAATTGAAAAAAATATTAATATGTCAAAATACACATGGGCTAAAACCCGTCAAGTATACATGTACAATATGCAGATTCTTTCATAGTTAACTAACAACTTCTATGGTGTCTCCTTTGCTGTTCATGTAGCTAGAATTACCACTACTAACCCTTCACTCTATTCCTCCTTGTCTTCTCTCTTTCTTTCTCTAACTTCGCTGCTTGTAATTCGGACCCTGAAGAAGAAAAAGAACAAATCGGACAGCAGTCCTTCCAATGCCGAGGTTGTACCGGCAGAGGTAGTAGCGCCACCTAGCGAAGAACTTGTGCAAAACAAGAAGCAGGAAAAGCCAGAAAAAGTGGAGAAGTCTACTGGGGAGAGGAAGGGTGGGAGGGGCAAGCAGGCCCAGAACCTGAAATCACCTCCGCCGGAAACTTCCAACAAGAAGAAAGGAGGAAAATCTGTTTCTGTAAGCTTCCTACGGTTACAGGGTGATATTACTACAGGGAAAGGCTATGGTAACAGCTAGATTAGTTATGCAGCAAGATTAAACTGTAATTTCCAACACAAGAAATTGGACTCACCCAAATTTTCGACTGTACAACTCCAGTCTTTGTCAAGGAATGAACAATCCACCGCTTCCGTGACGTCACGCAGATAACACACGTGACTCCGTGAGCAGTGGATCATACATGTAGGTTGCAGAAAGTCTGTGGCGCCCCCCGTCTCTATTGAAGGATGGTTGCAATGCCCTGATGTAGACGGCCTCTTTAATCCCTTGTGCAAAGAAATCCGGTTCTGAGTCCAGGATTCTTACTTTGTTCAGTGACACTGAATGACCAGGCGACTCTATATGTATATGTTGTTAGACCTTCCAAGTATTCGAGCTAGGTCGTTTGTGTTCTAAGAACCTAGCCTTGAGGGATCTTTCAGTCTCTCCAATATAGGTTTCCTTACACGGACCCTTGGAAGTCTGTCCTTGACACTGTATATGGTAAACTACTGTGTTGGAAATTACAGTTTAATCTTGCTGCATAATGACTTCTACCAACACAGATGAACTTTCAAGATAAAAGCTAGATTACGGTAGTTGTTGACCCCCAAATACATGTATTATACTAGTGACCACCTGTTAACTGTGACCTTTTTGGCAAGGTCGTTAACTGGCCACTAGTAGTACTATAGATAGGAATCCAATGCACAAGTACTAAGGAGTGTTAAAGGGGTTTATTAGCTTCTTCGTTGAAAAAAAGAATTGATCCTGACCCCTTCAATCCCCATATTTATGTTACATGTATTTAAGTAACACTTAGCTTAAGTACTTCATCATTTATTTAAGAATTACATGTAGGAAACTCACTACAAAAACTGTACATTTATGCCCATGTTGACATGAACGTTACAGGTATAACTACTTACATTTCGTAATGTAATTATGTATTTGCCATACATTGTCTATAGTGGTGTGTAATGCTTACTATAAGAGAATGCATGCATGTACATACTCTTGTGTACATGTGTTGTGATGTCTGCATTGTGGGTGGCAAATGCTATGGCTGCAAACCAGCATCATCAATTTTATTTCTTGGTTCCCAGATTTCAAACATGCTGATCCAGAAAACCAGGCATCAAATGAGTCAGAAGAAAAGGTCTATACCTATAGAAAGTTTACAGTAATTTTTTTTCTGCTACAAGAAATCTTTTCTTGTGTACAGAATGGTTTTCTTGCTTCAAGAACAGTTAGCTCTTAGTTCAAGAAATATTTTCTTGTGGACAGAATCGTTTTCTTGCCACAGTTTCTTGAATTTTCTTGCTACGGGGATTCTTTAATTTCTTGTTCAAAGAATAATTTTCTTGCTACAACTTACAAGATACCATTTCTTTGTACAAGGAAAACAAGAAAAAAGCATTTTTGGTAGTGTAATTAAATGGCACGATCACAGTTTCAGTGAAAAAACAGTTAGCTCGTAGTTCAAGAAATATTTTCTTGTGGACAGAATCGTTTCCTTGCCACAGTTTCTTGAATTTTCTTGCTACGGGGATACTTAAATTTCTTGTTCAAAGAATAATTTTCTTGCTACAAGATACCATTTCTTTGTGCAAGAAAAACAAGAAAAAAACATTTTTGGTAGTGTAATTAAATGGCACGAACACAGTTTCAGTGAAAATACATTATCAGGTTTTAAAATGCTGAATTTTGGCTTAAAATGTATGGGAACCAAGACAATGCATTGGTGTTGCCCTGCATGTGAGTGTGTACTGCATATTGTGACATGTACATTGTGAATTGTGAATGCATGATTTTTGTGTGCTCTCCTCTCTGAGAATGACATAATATGCAGAGCTCTGGTGGACTTACATGTAGTTAGTCTGGATATAAGGTGTTACAAAATTCTGGCAGTTGGCTTTTAAATTTTGCTTCCAAAAAGTAGATTTTCACAAAGATTTTAAAAAGGGAGACAGCTACCAACTCAAGGGTTACCAAATTTCCCTGCAATGCTATTTCAGTTACTCATAATTCAAAGTGAGATTTGAAATATGAAATAATATAGAAAATATACATTGTACTGATGAAAATGTACAGCATACGCATACCCATTATTTGGCCATATTGTTTTTTTACTTTACTAGTATGCAAGACAGGAAAATACTGAATTTATACAATATTTGTCACAAAAAGTCAATATTGAAGTGCTTTATGTACACAACAAATAGACACAATCAATTCAAATCAATGCAGCTTCACTTTACAAATGTAAGAGTTAAAAATTCCGTTTTTTTTTTGTTTTTACCCAATCACTGTTGCAACTATACTTGGAATATTTGGCCATATTGGGAATATGATCATTGAATTCTCCCTACTTATGGACCTTGCTGTGTTTCCCCCTCTAGGAGGGCACCAGTAGCATTCTAAATGAGATTGCACGGGCACGCCAGAACATTCAAAACTCCCTCAGTTTTCCTGTGAGTAGTACACCACCTTCTCTCTTAACCACCTCGCACGTACAAATGTACAAACACACCCCACCCACCCATGCTAATCTTCAGTAACGCACTGTAGAGCCTAAAGCATAGCTAGCTGTGTAGTGTAGTGTATCCTTCTAACTCCTTTTGCTCAGTACACTGTCAATTTTTTAAGCTGAGGCCACAACAATTCAATTTGTTGTTTCTCAGATTTTTTCAGAAAAAATATGACGCGACAGGGCGAAAAAAAACTGTCCAAGGCACCCGTATGATAGCCGGAAATTTTAGAAGTGACCATACCAGGCTGGTTTATAATTACAACAATTAGATTTTGAACTTTTAATGAACCAAAGTTGCATTGTTACATTGAAAAAATTTAACTACTAGGAAGAAAAGGACTTTCTTCAACTGTTGGGGCCAAAATATGTCTTACATTGAGCATTTTGGAGTTGATTCAGAACCTTAAATCTTTAGTATATTTTTTTTGTAAATCAGAAAAAAATTGGGAAATTTGAGAAACAACAAATTAAATTGATGTGGCCTGGTGATCTTTTGGAATAACAGAGTTGTAACCAACCTAGCATCTATCAGGCTTCGTGAAGTGGCTCGAAAGAGTAGAAATTGTGGCCTGGGTACCATCCAGATTTCGCTCCGCTCCGCTCAAAAAAATTGATTTTTTTTGTAGCATAGTGGAGCAAAATCCTGACGATACCCAGGCTATGGAAATTGGCCAAATAGACAGATAACATGCCAGGGGAGTTGGTCCGCGTTAAGAACAGTTTGCCGCTCCCGAGGCCTGTAAGATGTCGCTACGTTCTTTCACTAATTGCTATCTACTAGTAGCAGCGGCAAACTGTTCTCTTACCGTGAACCTCTGGCATGTTATCTGACTATTTGTAAGGCCTCACCAATTTAATTTATTGGTTCTCTGATTTATTCGGAAAAATATATGAAGCAACGGCGAAAAAAAACAGGTCTAGGTATCCTATTATGGCCCCAAATGCTACCATACGAGCCATGAAGTCAACACAAAAGGCTGGGTTAATATTCAAACAATGCATGAATTTTGGACTTTTAATCAAACCAATGCATTGATAGATGGAAAAACTGTAACAAGTAGAAGAAAAGGACTTTCCTCAACTGTTTGGGGCAAAATATGAGCATTTTTGAGTTGATTCAGAACCAGAATCTTTTTTTTTTTTTTTGCAAATCGGAAAAAAAATGAAGAGGTGAATCCGAGAACCAAAAATTTAAATTGCTGGTGTGGCCTAATCTTTCTGGCCACTTTCCAAAGCTTGTTAGAGGCTATAACTAACCAACCGACCAACAAAGACAGTATCCACTCGTGGATAGCGTCTTGCACCTATTCTGGGTAAAAGGAGTTAGATGATGTGGGTAGAGCCTGGTAGTTTCACTGTTGCTGCATGTGCTTCTCTACTTCAGCATTAGAGCAAAAATCTGCATGTTGGTATAATGTTTATACCTTGTCTCTGATCATGACTAATTTACTACTCCAAGTACAATAGCTATCTACTATTACTAGTACATGTATTCAGTATATACCACTAGTATTATATGTACCAGTATTGTACAGTTGTCAGTTGGCACTAGAGATATAGATGCCGTCTTCAAAATTTACATGTACATGTATGTCTGTTTAGAGTCACAATCATGAATTTGTCTAGAACGTAGAAGTCATATATTGAAATTATTTTTTGTTATTTTCTACATACATGTAGTTATAGAAGGTAGGGGTAACATAACTATAGTTTTGCATACTAGTATACATAGTCCTACAAATGTATGTTAGGACACTGCAAATGTATATTTTTTTTTAGTTAGAAATTACAGATAATATATCTTGTATGATCTTTATTTTCTTTTACAGTCAGTAGTTCAGATGAGCTTCTTTACAAGTGTGATTAGCACAATTTCAACATCATGAGAACATACTACCATATTATTTTTGATAAAATATAGTGATATGTTTTCAGATTCATAATATTATGTACAGCCTTGCAATGCTGAAGACTCAGAAGAGTTCTGTAGATGTCTTGGGTTTTTTTTCTTAAGTTGCATGTCGTGTTCTTTACCTCCAGGGTGAGGGACTCCAGGTGGGCACCAGTGTGGGAGGTACCGAGGTTTTCGCCCGACTCTCAACTCTGGAACAGGAAAACAAGGATCTAAGGAAAAGTAAAAGTCTTCTATCACTGTTACCTCTTGATCTGCTTGTTTGTTTGTTTGTTTTTTCGTTTGTTTGTTTTTTATATTTGTTTGTTTGTTTGTTTGAACCATTCTCAATTCATGAAAAGCTCAAATCAAATTTTCATTGAGGTCATGAGATATGAGGTAAGACAAAATCTATATAAAAAATCAAGTTGATTCAAAGTCCTAATAAATCTATAATTATACAATCACATATTTTTTACACATACATGGTACAAAATTACACACGTTAGAATGAGATCTGACTGGTACATGGTTCATGTCCATTTGTTTTTGTCATTTCTCAATTTTGTTACTTTTTGTTTATACAGATAAGGCCACACCAATTTAAATTGTTGTTTCTCGGATTCGCCCTGTCCATTTTTTTCTGATTTGCAAAAAAAATTTTAAAAAATTTTTTGGTTCTAAAAAAATTAAATGCAAAATGCTCAATGAAAGACATATTTTGGCCCCAACAGTTGAAGAAAGTCCCTTTCTTCCTAGTTGTTCAAGTTTTTCAATGTAACAGTGCAATTTTGTTTCATTAAAAGTTCAAAATCTATAATTGTTTTAATTATAAACCAGCCTGGTATGTTCACTTCATTGCTCATATTGTAAAATTTCCGATTATCATGGGGTGCCTTGGCCTGTTTTTTTTTTTAATTCGCCCTGTCGCTTCATATTTTTTCTGAAAAAAATCTGAGAAACAACAAATTAAATTGATGTAGCCTAAACATTGAATGCTGACTTCCACAACTAATATAACGTTTTCCATTGTTTGCTCCACTTGAACACAGTAACGAATGATCTGAAGGCACTTGTGTTAAAACTGGAGTCCCGGGTGGTCTCACTGGAGAGGGGCGGTGCCGCTCCGACCAACTCACCTGCCAAACCAGTCCAGAAGGAGGAGGAGGATGAGGATGATGATGATGATGATGATGACATTGACCTGTTTGGCAGTGATGATGTGAGAAAATTATCATGAAAGTTCATCTGTGTTGGTAGCAGTGTTCTAGCTATCCTGAATTTTTTTTGCTATCTCAATTTTGTTTGATGCAACATTATTTGGCAGTGATGATGTGAGGAGATTGTTATGAAAGTTCATCTGTGTTCTAGCTATACCTGAATTTTTTTCTGTCATTTCAATTTTGTTTGACGTAACATAATGTCAAGCTATGCCACAATCCTTGGAGTTTCTTGGGGACAATTTTAAAATCTAGACCCTCTGATATGCTGTTTCCTGCATTTTGTCGGCAAATTTTGCTGTTAATCCAAGCTTAGTTTGATGAAAGTTCTGTGTATAAATCTTCGCAATGTTTTTTGTCCATCAAAGATCATGCATATGCATAAGGCAAAATTTTCGTCTGTCATCAGTGGCAAATTTCCATCAAATGACGAAAAGACCGATGCTGGCTAGAATACTGGCTGGTAGTTAATAACATAGTATGATGCTAATATTTATTCTAACACAAAGTGTACACAAGGATCAAATTTTCAGTGACCACTGTTAGGTTTGTCAGAATAATTTACTTCCGAACGTAAACCCAAAATCTTGTGTGAATACTAGTGAATGTCTGTATCTCTTGTTGGTTTATGTTCTACATCATACATGTATTAATCTGTGGCGTTGGGTGGCGTAGTGGTAGATCATTCGACTGTGAACCGGGAGACCCGGGTTCGAACCCGAGTCGTACCCGGGACATGTCTGGACATGCACCCCGACGTTGTGCCCTTGGGAAAGGCACTTTACACGACTTTCCCCACTCCACCCAGGTGTGAATGGGTACCTAACTTTGGTTGAGGAAAGTCGTATTGAGGTCACCTTGTGGCGCCGAATGGCAGCTGCACAGACCCTTGCGACAAATATAATATATGTATTATATGTGTATTACTTGTTTGTTGTGATTTGTATTGATTATTATGTGATACCCTGCATCAATTCAGCCGTTAAAGGCTGCGACTGCACGGGTACTGTTTGGACAATAAAAACCATTATTATGGACAATAAAAACCATTATTATTATCTGAATCCGATGTTTATTTGAGGATACATCATGTTTTATTTGCTTCAATGACTATCTTTGTATCTTCCTTCAGGAGGCAGATGCAGCAGCAGAGAAACTTAAACAAGAAAGACTCAAGGCCTACCAGGAGAAGAAGTCTAAAAGTAAGTCTCTTGGATCAGCATAAGCCATAAAATAATAAATGCCCTAATGACGATGACAGGCGGTCATCAAAACATCAACTCTTGTTAAACAAATGGTTTTGAAAAAACTTAATGATTTAATCATTCACCAACCTGATGAGGTTATTGCCTTCTAAAGAAGGCTATGAAATCGTTTTGGCACTGTTTGGCAGATTATGCACGATAAAGTGTGAAGGCATGGTCCGTGGTTCACGATTTTTGGCAGGCAGGTTGTCTTACTGATGGGCATTGTGATGGTCAGAAATGGGCTTCGTGGGGGGTTCTTACGTGACTGGAGCTGACCTTTTGTGTTTGCGTTTTTTGTTGTTCCCCAGATACATGTAACTCGGGAATACTTATGTTTTTTGTTTGTTTGTTTGTTTGTGTACTGACATAATTTCCTGTTGTTTTTCAGAGCCAGCTCTCATAGCGAAGTCCATGATTGTTCTTGATGTCAAACCGGTTAGTTCTTGTTACTTTACATATACTGTGATGTAACAACTTATTCATATTAAGATTTGTACACACCTCTGTCTGTATACTTAAATATACACCGATTGCTGCAAGTTTATGAGAAGCAGCAAATCTCGAAGCCCCCCAAATGTTGTTCTGTATTTCAACACTAATGTACAATGTAACAGTACTGTTGTTGTTTTTTTTTTAAGTACAAAAACAATGTTCAAGTACAAGTATCTGATGTTAACAATTTCTTTTTTACTCTTTTCCATCTTCACTGTACCTGACAACATCATAGTGGGACGATGAAACAGGTGGGTTCTTTAGAATATTTGTTTCATTATTAACAGTTTAGAATGTGACACTGTCTTTTTTGTTATTGTTGTTGTTGTATTTTTTTCTTACATAGCCCAGAACATAACAATATAAGTTCAGACCTATATGTTTGATACCTGGGATTAAAACATAATTATCAAAGTAATTTTTTACTTGAAAAACTTTATTCCAACACACGATTTAAAGAGATCAAATTTTCAGCGACCATTGTCGCCTTCATCAGGATAATTAATGACCAATCACTTCACATCTCGCGAGAGTACCGTAAACCGTAACTCTCAGATCTGCGAGATCACGTTGTGAAGTGATTGGTCATTAATTATCCTGATGAAGGCGACAGTGGTCGCTGAAAATTTGATCTCTGTAAACTGTGTGTTGGAATAAAGTTTAACGTTTTACTATCATGGTTACCACCAACACAGATGAACTTTCATGATAATTTTTTAATGGTCTTGCGTTTCCCACAGACATGTCTGAGGTGGAGAAGAGTGTTCGGTCAATAGCAACAGACGGGCTCGTATGGGGACAATGTAAGTAGCAGGCATCTCTCCATGTCTTAAGATGATAGTAGCATTCTTAAGTTCCAATTGCTTCTCTGAAGTGTGACCCAGTGTTGACGTCACACTTCAAAGAAGCCACGTGACAAGTCTCACTGGGTCAGTCTACTAAAGAAGACCAGAGTGACTGGTCAAAAGCTCTAGGTGAGAACAATTCTTCGTGTTGGAACGAATGAAAGTTTTTCCGATGAAATCAATGTATGTATGTCATTGACTTCTTTTTTTTCTTCCTATCAGCCAAACTGGTTCCCCTGGCCTATGGCATTAAGAAGCTTCAGATCAGCTGTGTTGTAGAAGACGACAAAGTTGGAACAGACTTCCTGGAGGAGAAGATCACAGAGTTTGAAGACTATGTAAGTTTTACTTCAAATTCAAGAGTCAAACGTGAAAACAGAGGTCATATTTGCATATTTAAGGATGATACCTGGTTTGTAGTTTTGAAATGTTGTGTAGAGAAAAATGCTTCATACAACGGACAACATACTTACGCCACGTTGACCAAGAATACAACAGAAAGAGTGTTTTCGTGCAGGCTCGTATGCTGTATAGGACAACCTAAGAGCCACGAAGGACCCTATCACATTTCGATATCATGTGATTTTATAACTGGCTGTAACAGAATTAAACAAACTGGGACAAGGATCTAATAATAATTTAATGATGATAATAATAATAATAATAAATAGTATTAGAAAGCCTTTCTGGTATATATATATAACAAGACAGTTGAATTTTGCAAATCATATGTACAACTGTCCAAAATTTGTACTCATCGTGGACTGTTTACTTAATCTTGCTGTTTGTTAAATTTTTCCTTGTTGTTGTTTTATTTACAGGTCCAAAGTGTCGACATCGCTGCATTCAACAAGCTGTAAACAGGACCCCCCGCACACGACAACAAACCATCTCCAAAGAAAACAACAACAACCGCTCTAAACAATAAAGGAAGAAAACAACTGAGAGCCTTTAGTTTTTTTGGCCCAATTAATTTTCCTTCTATTTCCAAATTTCAGTCCTTCAAATGGCCATATATGTTTTTTTTTCTCATGAAATATAAACAGGTCATTTGGAAGACTATGGAATATGAATGTGAAAATTACAAGAAAACACCAACAAAAATGTCAACAGCAACAAAAATGGACTAGTTTCGCTGACAGTGCCATTAGTAAAATGACTATCGCAGCTACAGTTTTTCAACAAATATGTGATACATAAATAATGGCACAAGTTCCTCTGGTATACTGATCTAATACATGACCGTATAGACCTTCTGTTTCCTTCTTGTACTTGGCCAACACTTTCTGATGTTTGTTGCTGACCATCGACATTAAACGTACCACCAACTGCTGCATATTGTGTGTTTGTCCGTTTTTTATGTGAGAGTTTACTACAAATATATGTGACGTAGGTAAAGCTTGGAATCAAAACTATGTGTGTTTACATGTATTTACCCAGTGTACAGGGAAATTATTACCCATTGGCAAGCAACTGAATAGATTTAAAAAATAGTCTAGCCTATAGCTGGTGTGTTACGCCGAAGGGCGGTTATACTGGCTATACAGATACAGAAGCTGGTGTGTTATGCCGAAGGGCAGTTATACTGGCTATACTGATACAGATACAGAAGTGCTTTTACAAAAAGCTGTTTCTGTCGACGTTTCTGTCTGACAATACAGTATAGGATATGGAATTGGAACACAAAGCACTGTATAGTAAATCACTTTATATTCGCAATACTTTTATATTCTTGGTTTTTGTGGTCACTTCTGTCCCAAATTTAACATTACCAGGAATAAATAATTTGCCAACTTTCTCCCTTCTGCACCTGCTGCTACTGCAAACTTATAGTTCTGTGAACATGTCCATTTTTCTCCAACTGCAAAATTTTGCTACTGCAAATGCAAATATAAAATGATTTACAATATTTCGAGTTCAAGTGCTTTTGCCACTTGAAATATCTTGGCAGCCTGGTTTAATATTATCTTTATCAAGATCCAAAGTCATTATTTTGGTGCCTTCTGTGTGTTTTTGTACAGCATACTAAAAACTCGAGAAGCCGCATAGCCTTTATATTACCTCAGTCATAACGCTTAGCATGATGTGGTGAAGGTATGAAATCCTGGAACTCTAGTTTACGTACATTGTACATCATGCATTACCCCCCCCACACACACAGACAACACATTTTTTATAGGGCATCTCTACGGAGCTATTGACATTCACGTTAAAATTTACACTATGTACTCAACAAGGCCGCCCTATCTGAAGTACTGATCGCATTGATTGATATTAATAACCCTTTATCAACGGGGGCAAAGGTTTGGGTCCGCCTTTATTCAACACTTGTTTTGACGTTACATACCTGAGAAAAGCACCAAGTGGAATGGACGATTTCTAGTATAGTTATAGTACAGGGTTATGCTAGCCCTAGCCCTTTAGTTACTAATAGTTACTACGCTATTCCTGGTCCTTCAGCTATTTTGAAGTGTTCGGCGCAGTTTTTGGAAGGCGTAACTGTCAATTTGAGCGTAAACCTGTGACCAGTGACTATATATTCTGTCAACCAAAAGGGTGAGTATGTTCCCAATTTTTTGCTCGATCTGTTTGCGAAAAAACTAATAACAAAATCATATATTGGCCTGTTCATGTGTTAAGATGATTCTGAGAATACTGTTTAAACTATTTTGTTGAGCTATTGTAGGACATAATTATCTACAAGAAATAACTATCTACATGTATATGCCCAGTGCTAGTACGATGCAGGTCAAAAAAATAATACGTAATGCCTACTTTTGTGTAGGTAATACTAAGTAACATCATAGAAAGCTTTGACTTGGATATTCTTCGATTTTAGGAAGAAAATTAGAATTTACATAATTTTCATTTAGCAGCAAACAATCACAAAGGGCGGCGTACATATAAGCGTGTGATATATGACGTTATGTGCCCAGCAACATAAGAAGTTCTGTACACCGGGACAGGGTGGGCAAATATTTACATGTAACTACACGACTCAAATGTGTGGGAGGGCCTAACAGTACCGTACATACTGGGGTTGATTTTTTTATTTATTTTATTCACATGGATTTTTGAGCATTGGATAGGAAGCACTTGTTGTGCTTATGTAAATCCGCTGCTCATAAAACATAATACAAATGTAAACATTAAGATGACATAAAGTATAACATAAACATAAAGTGGCTGGCGCACCAATACCTATAGCATAGCATTAATGAGATTAATCAAATCTTCCAGAGTGATGGAACACAATATCAAAGATACGGCAGTTGGTAGGGTATGGGAGGGAGGGGCTACCTGTAAGAAGTAAAGTACATAATATGGCGTCGTTTACGTTGAGTGGGTCGGAAGGAAGTATGTTTTCAAGATGAAGGCAAGATATGGATAACAACATTTTGGTCCTTTCAGTATTATAAAATTTGCAGTGTAATAACTGGGGTTGATACTTTTTGAGAAAGTTAAATGCCATTTAATAAACGCGTCCTTGTATCAAGTAATATCTATTTGCTTTGTTCTTATGTTGTACAATCATATAGCTTACAACACGTTGTATTCCGTAACACCCGAGGTACCAGCCCGGCCGAGGGCCGGAGGGATCAGATCCAACCCGCGGGAGGGCCGGGACCGAGGGTGATACAGAATACCGTGCAGTATTTTGTTTCGAAATACGCCAACATTTAGTTTCCCTAAACAAAACAAAAAAATTACAGCAATAATGAAAGTTCATCTGTGTTGGTAGTTACATGTTTAAAGTTAAAACTTTTGGTCCAACACAACTTTTTTTTTCCTTTTTGTGGTGTTGGACCAAAAGTAACTTTAAACAAAAAGATAACAGAATTAGTCATTAATTATCCTGATGAAGACGATATTGTGTAAAAGTTCAGCATAGTACTACTGGTATGATTACTATCATGATACAAGTGATGACATTATCTTCTGCACCTAGTTCTAAATGGAGGATAAAAACACACACTCAGTGATAGAAGTCGGTGATGGCCAGAACAATCCTGCTTTTGAGTCGGACGATACCAACCATCGGCAGGGGAGCGCGGTTCTCAGAAGGAATAGTTCAAGAATCAACAGGTAAATACAATGTCAGAACCAGCTAAAAGAAGAGATACTTATTTCATTGGACATAAGCAAATACCCTGAGGATGCGTGTGCGAAATCTATTGTATATATACATTGTAAAAAGGTACTGTAGACTAGAAATACATTTCTACTATTGATGGCGTTTCAGTACTACCTACTGGCTAGTGGTTGATAATGAAGAATATATTTGTCTAGAAGAAGTAGTGAATGCTATTAAACCAAGACGTAGGTTGTGGAACTCCTTACCAGCCTCGGTCTTCCCTGACAGTCCCAATATAACTAAGTTCATGACTGCAGTAAACAGATTCTTGTTGAACTCCTCTTAAATCTATTAAAGATTTTCTACTTTTTGACAATTATGTACCATGCAAATATGTATTATTTATAATGTATTTGATAGGGGTATGTGTACTTAAGCGAGGGGAATTGATGTGACATTATATTGAACCGAAAATCATCGATATTCGATGTTAAGATCAGGTTCACTTTACACTGATTAAAAAAACGGCTATGAAACGGCTTCCAACTTCTTTTGTAGTCAAAACGGCCCCAGAGATAAAGGAAATGGACGGAATGATGTCGAGATGCAACCACAAGATGTACAGAAAGATGGCGGTAATTTTCAGTTTCTTATGTTATACATTTTGATACCGATTAAAAGATAGACTAGCACAATTGTCGACTCTTAGGATCTCTTTCCCAAGTTCGATTCCAACTACTTGACAGTATATTGATTATGCATATTTAAATGTGATGAAATGTCTGTTTGATGATATTTTATAACTATCTTTTCATACGGACAGTTATGCAGAAACTATTATCTTTCGACATATTGTCGCTACGTCAGCTTGTAACGGAAACAACATCTACCCGAAAACAATTTCATAAGATTAGTAGAACATAGGATATTAGGATTTTCCTATATACAACCGGTACTTGTCTCACCTTCCTTACGTAGAGTGCACAAAGTAGGTGCCGCTTTTCGGCGAGAACACAATCCCAGTGATGAACCGGGACGAGGGGGGATACAAACTTAGTCACGTCTGGAATTTTGTTCTCGCCGGAAAAGCGCCATCTACTTTAACTGAAAGACATCGCAACGTAATCAAGACGAGAGAAGAACTGATTGTGTTACTTGTGTATAAGAAAATCCCTACATCTAACAATATTTTTGATGTTGCCCCTAAGGCCACGCAGGTTACCACCAGGCCCTGCACATGGCCCTCCTGAGGGGAGACGAGAAACTGGCGCTGGAGATTCTGGACCAACACGTGGACTGTGCCAACATGGTCTGCTGTGATAAAAACCACGACGGTACGGACGTCTTTAGTTTTCGCCATGTCCTCATTTGTTGAGATGAAATACTCTGACTTTGAGGTCTATCATGAAAGTTCATCTGTGTTGTTAGTTACATGTTAAAACTTTTGTTCCAACACAACAAGCAACAAGAGATTGTTCTCACTTAGAGCTTTCGACCAGTCACTCTGGTCTTCTTCAATAGGGTGAGCTGTGTCACGTGGCTTCTCTAAAGTGTGATGTCACACTGGGTCAAAGGTATCTGATAGACGATGTCGGCCCCCGTCGCGGTTGTGTGGTTGGTTATGGGCCAATAGATACTATCTGTGTGACCGGACCTTAATACAATGTATGCGTCAGAACGTAAACTATTATTACTTACTATTTAATATATACTTTTGCAGGAGAATCTCCGCTGCATCTGGCCATTTTTAACGGGAACTTTAAGCTGGTACGGGAGCTGGTGAGCCGCGGGGCGGACCCGAACGCGCGCTGCACCGGGAAAAACTTCTCCCAGGCCCAGGGCAGGGAGGGCGACGTCCTGTTTTACTACGGTAAGCCTATGGACGTCCTGTTTTACTACGGTAAACCGAGGAGTTTCCCTATTTTACTACGGTAAACAACTAGGTACCTAGTCCTGTATCTCTGATTTCAGTTCTGAAAAGAATATGATAGGGTTGGTAGAAAGAAATTGTCTTCTAAAATGTGCAAAATAGTTTAATATATAATTATATTCCAACATTTTGCAGGGGAGTTTGCTCTTTCTCTCGCGGCCCGTCTTGGAATGGAGCATATTGTCCGGTATCTGGTGCAAAATGGCGCTGAACTGGACAATCAGGATTCAAAAGGTGGGCGCTCATATGTGTGTGCGCTTGTGTGTGTGTGTGTGTGTGTGTGTGTGTGTGTGTGTGTGTGTGTGTGTGAGTGTGCGTGTGTAGGTGCATGTGTGCGCGTTTGTGTGTGTGTACGTATATGTGCGCGCTTGTGTGTGTGTGTGTGTGTATGTGTGCGCGCTTGTGTGTGTGCGTATGTGTGCGCGCTTGTGTGTGCGTGTGTGCGCGCGCGCTTTGTGTGTGCGTATGTGTGTGTGCGTGTGTGCGCGCGCTTGTGTGCGCGTGCATGTGTGTGTGCGCGAAATCAAGACTGTTGTGCAGAACATAGTTTTTTTTTGTTTTTTTTTTTAGTTTGATCATTTTATATAACGTCCATACAGGAAACACAGTTCTGCACGTGCTGGCCATCATGGAGCACGCTGACGCCGCCTGTTCCATGACCAGGCTGGTGCTGAAGCTGGTGGAGGAACAGCTGGAAACACTCAAGGAACAGTACGACAACCAACAACTCACCCAGGTAGGAAGGCCCATATGTACATTTTCTTTCTGAGTTTGAAGTGATCATCAAAAGTCATTGATACTGATCAATGTCTTTTGTAGACAGAAATGAAGCCATGACCATACAAATCGCTACTCGACTGCATTTCTACTCTTGATAGTTGTATTTACTTCTGGTGTTTGATAATAAAACAGTTACTAAAATTGTCCGTGTAAGTACAGGGGACCATCATATTTGTCCATTTAGGAAGAGCTTATCCAGATCAGGGAGAGTCTGGATCTGGAGAAGATCACCAACAACGCGGGACTTACTCCGGTCAAGCTGGCAGCAGATAGCGGCAATCTAGAGGTGTGTGTTCATGCAGTATCTACAACAAACACCCAGTCTTGCTACTGTCTGTGTAACTGTGAATGCGTCGCAAGCTTGCATGAGTAAGGGGTGAAATCTGTCATCTTTGATTGCTTGTAGATGTTCTTTCTACAAATAAAATTGACTTTCAGCTTATCGTCCTCAACTGCAGTGTCTCTAAACAAAAATATGTTCCAGGTCCTCTTATCTATAGACCACAGCATCACATGCTACATATAAAAGTACGACTCTGTGAGTTTTAATGGCCACGTGTGTTCTGTTCATCAGCAAATGTTCCAGGCGCTCCTAGACCCTAACCGTAAGCACCACGTGCTGTGGAAAATTACGGTTTTATGTATGTGTATGAATAATCACGTGTGTCTTGTTCATCTGCAGATGTTCCAGGTGCTCCTATACCCTAACCGTAAGCACCACGTGCTGTGGAAATTACGGTTTTATGTATGTGTATGAATAATCACGTGTGTCTTGTTCATCTGCAGATGTTCCAGGTGCTCCTAGACCCTAACGGTAAGCACCACGTGCTGTGGAAGCATGGTTCTATGCGTGCATGAATAACCACGTGCGTTCTGTTCATCTGCAGATGTTCCAGGTGCTCCCAGACCCAAACGTAAGCATCCCATGTGCTGTGGAAATTACAGTTGGTTTTATGTGTGTATATGAATAATCACGTGTGTTCTGTTCATCTGCAGATGTTCCAGGTGCTCCTAGACCCTAACCGTACGCACCACGTGCTGTGGAAGCATGGTCCTGTATCCGAGTGTCTGAATAACCATGTGTATTCTGTTCATCTGCAGATGTTCCAGGTGCACCCAGACCCAAACGTGCTGTGGAAGTATGGTTCTATATGTGTGCATGATGAACAATCATGTGTGTTCTGTTCATCTGCAGATGTTCCAGGTGCTCCTAGACCCCAACCGTAAGCACCACGTGCTGTGGAAGTACGGCCCTGTGTCCGAGTGTCTGTACGACCTGACTGATATAGACAGTCTACACAACAGGACGTGTAACGGTCTACTGGAGATCGTGGTCTACAGCAACGTGCGCAGGTTTTACACTAACATCAAGGTAAAGGCAATCTTACACGTAACTATTTAAACCTATGTATTGTTCAATGTCTTTATCGTTTAACGGTGCTGCTCATTGCAAAGCTAAATGGCAACGGGCAATGGTCTAGGCAGTATGACAGACATGACTATGCCAGGAAATTTATTTTGAAAGCTTGACGATTGTATTCGAGGGGGAAACATTTGTTTGGGAGATAGTTCCTTAATGTTGTAGTCCAGTGAAAGTCATAAATGCTGTTGTAGAAAGTTTGAAATAGGATTTGAACTTCTAAGGATTCGATAGTACATTTACTACTGTCCCCATCTTGGCCGTACTTGGTAGTTTAATATTTGGCATCCGCATTTGGTATAGTTATTGCTATAAGAGACAGATTACCTTCACCTAAGTGGGACGGGGGTCGCTACAGACTTCCCAGCACCTTTGACCCATAACTGGCGTCATGTTCTCATTTAGTCACGTGGCAGGTGTAGTGGGTCATTGTACATGAAGACCTCTACATTGTACATGAAGAGTCTACATTTATGATTTATAGATTTTATCTACCAATAAGTATCGATTTTCAACGTAACATTTGTAATCTTTGCGCATCCAGGCTGCACGAATGGTCCAAACCACGCCTATAAAACAGCTGCTCAACAAGAAGTGGACGAGTTTCGTCCGGGGCTGGTTCTTGGCCTTCGCTCTGGCTTACCTTGTTCACATCGTCGTGTTTACCATCTGCTGCTGGTACAGACCACTGCGGACTGTGGTAAAAGTCGTGAGTGATGGCAGCAACAATGTCACGGTCACGGTGGTGGAAAAAGCACCCGTGTTTGTAAGTTTTATCTGTGTTATATTCTATAAAGTATTTTTTTACTTCAAAATATTTTTATCAGGTTAGTAGAACAGTGGATATTGAAATTTTCATATACACCATCAGGGGTTCTTCCTACCTTGCTTACGTTTAAATGCCTGTCAGACACCTTCCTCAGAGCTTCTGACTGGAGTACTGTTTATCGCCGTTATATGTAATGATGAACCTGGACGAGGGGGGATACATACTTTGCCACATTTGGGATTATGTTCTCGCCGCAAAAAGCGCCACCTAAGCAGGCGGCGAGAAGCAGAACTCCAGTCAGTCGCTCTGAGGAAGGTGTCTGATAGACACTGAAACGTAAAAGTAAGAAATGAAGAATCCAAATTTGTATAAGGAAATACTTTTTTTCATTTTCAGGAGTCGTACAGCACACCGTGGCACTATGCACGCCTTGCCGGGGAGATGTTCACATTACTGGTGGTCCTGGTCATCCTGTGGGTCGAGATTTCTGACATGATACATGTCAAGCCAGAGGCTTGTGGGATCTTCAACGGAGTCGGCAACGGGCCCTTCCGTTTTCTCAGGTACCTAAGCATTTTTTTCTAAAATTTCTGTCACCAAATGTCCATCGATGGATCTTTTGAAGGTCCTGATTTTATTATGTTTACCGATGGAAAACATATTGTTTTTATACAGTTTCTTCCTCTTCTTCTTCTCCAAGCAGTGACCCAAGGTCTGACCAATGACATGATTTGTTGACGTCTGTCACCATGGTGACTGGTGTTGCAATTTCATGGTCTGCTCTGCTCTTGTCACCATATACTAGTAGTAAATGTATGTGAATGTGTTTGAGTAAGAATTAACAGAGCAGACCATGTCCGAAGGTAAACATTATGCATTTGCTTTGCAAATGTTATTTCGCTAGTTTCACTTCACATTACCATTTTGATTGATATGTATGACGCAGAAAGTCGCTTAGCTATTAAAATTGTTGGAGGCTTCAATACGTATGTATCAGTTTCTGTAAGCCTTGAGTACAAAAGAAAAAGAGCAAATCTTCCTTCACTCCTATCTTTTTTTGTTTGTTTCACAGCCTTTTATACAGTTGTTCTGTGCTGATTTTGGTGGTGTTTCGGCTGACTGACCACCCCCGCGAAGATGTGGTTATGTCCCTGGCCCTGGTGTTCGGCTGGATGTTACTGCTATACTTCTCACGGGGCAGTGAAGCTCTGGGGCCCTTCACTGTCATTATCCAACAGGTACGTATAATATCCTTGTTCGTGTTAAGTATGCAAGGGATGTGCTGATGTTCAACTGCATGGTCTTAAGACCAAAGGCGTCGTCATTCAACAAGCACGTACACGTATAACATGCATATCCCCGTAAATTAGACGTGGATGTAGCCATGTCCTTGGTGCTGATACTTCTCTTTCATCCAACATTAAAGCGTTGTAAGATAAGAGAGTTCTTGTAACACGAAACGAAATTAAGATATTTACGTGGCCAACGGTTCAGCAACTGATCAGCTAGCTTCCCTAGGGCCTGGCTTGTCTAATATGTTCATGTTTTATTTTTTGCCTGTAGATTCTCGCGGGAGACATCGTTCGATTCTTTGCCGTCTATCTTGTCTGCCTGCTGGGATACACCTCAGGTAGGTGGTCAAATTCATAGATGAGAATTTTCAGCTGATGAAAAACAGAAATAACTTTGAATTACAGCATTTAAAGACAAGACATCACGTAAAAACAATTGAAAACTAAAATGGTAAAAATTTGCAAAGCAAATGCATAATGTTAACCTTCGCATATATGGTGTGCTCTTCTAATTCTTGCTAAAACATATTCACATATGTGATGATAGAGTAAATTCCTCCCACTATGAAATTGCAACATTACGTAACCCAACACCAGTTACCATGGCGACAGACGGTCTGGTTCAGGTCATTGACGAGGTCAGTGTTTGGAACAGAGGAAGAAACGAGAAAAGAACAATATGTTTTCCTTCGGTAAACATGAATAAGCCAATAACATGACTCAAAGACGTCGACAGTTCATGTCCATAACCGACAAGGTGATGAGGTCGCGCCGTTGTATTTTGAATGAATTGAATGGAAATACTTTTGCACTGCAGCATTCTACATCACGTTTGAGCAGGCTGAAGAGTACCTGGAACAGTTCCGTGACTTCGAACACACCATGCTGACTCTGTTCAAACTCACGCTTGGAGTGAAGAACGCCACGGTTCAAATGTCGAATTTTCAATAGTTCAACTTGAAATAACTTTGCATTTCAGCATTCTACATCACGTTTGAGCAGGCTGAAGAGTACCTGGAACAGTTCCGTGACTTTGAACACACCATGCTGACTCTGTTCAAACTCACGCTTGGGGTGGAGGACGTCACGGTTCTAGACAAGGCCCCCAACCCCGCCATGGCGGTCTCCCTGTTCGTCAGCTTCCTCATCTTCTCCTTTCTGCTGATGACTAACCTTCTCATCGGGATGATGGGGGAGACGCTGTCCAGGGTCTCGGAGGAGAAACGGGATCTCTGGAAGCTGCAGGTATTCTTTATAGAGCTTAATGATAGAAAGATGGGAAATATCTATAAGTGTGTTGGGTTCTTTAACGTAAATCGGGATGATGGGGGAGACGCTGTCAAGGGTCTCGGAGGAGAAACGGGATCTCTGGAAGCTGCAGGTATTCTTTATAGAGCTTAATGATAGAAAGATGGGAAATATCTATAAGCGTGTTGGGTTCTTTAACGTAAGTCGGGATGATGGTTGAGACTCTGTCCAGGGTTTCGGAAGACCAGGACCTTTGAAAGCTGCAGATACAAAGGAGGGGCCTGTTCTTTAAAAATATCTATACGTGTGTTGTGTTGTGTTGTTTAACGTGAATTGGCATGATGGGAGAAATTCTGCCCAGGGTCTCGGAGGAAAAGCGGGGCCTCTGGAAGATGCAAGTATTTGTTTTGTATCATGTTTTTGGCAATGATACAAATCATTGCAACGTCAGCAAAGCTTAAGGCAGACTCAGTTGTTAACGGCTGACGTACACAAAAAATACAAAATGATTAAGCAAATTAGAATCTACACTAAAATTCAGCAACAAAGATAAGCTCATATCATTGGTGCCATGAATTTGAAGTTTATTCCTTTTTCTGTTTGTGTATTTTCATTAAGCGTGCTTGCCTGATCCTCCTGTTCGAGAGGCGCCTGCCGAGTTGCCTGAGGCGGCCGGCGGGGGAGTACGTGGACGTGCCCGGGTTTGACCCTAACACGCGATACCTCAGGTAGGGCTGGTACAGTCGTCATTTGTCCTATTGGCCTAGCCTCGAGCTCGTACCAATCTTCGGCAAGCGGCTGGAAAGAGTAGAGCAGTTTGCCACTCCGGTCTCTTAGTGGACCAACTCCCCTGGCATGTCATCTGTCTACTTTCCCAATGTCTACTCTTTTCTGGTAGAGGCTACTATCGGCCGTGAGCGTTGGTAGTGTCAGGTCACCCAATTTCCAAGAAGATGTACTGATGACATATGTCAGAAACGACACTACTTTGATACTCAAGCCACCGATGGCTTTTTGTATTTTGGGGGAGGGAGGGGGGGCGTCATGTTACGTATACCGGTAAGTCTGCTTGCAATAGAGATAACAGGTACCCAAAGGGAAAAAAAATCAAACTCGTCGCGTAGATTCTTTTGCGTTATTTCAAACGCTTCAATATGATATAATGAAAAAAAAACTGTGCCACACAGTAAATGTCAATGTCAGACAGAGTTCCTCATGCAGAATATTTTTTGGAGTTTTGCTACCCTGAAATTGCAGTACATGCCTTTAAAGGTATATAAACTCACATCCATTTTTATTCCATTGATTATAGGGTGAAGATTCTGGGTGAGCTGGAGGCGCGCAGTGAGGTGAAGTTTAAGCGGGCCCCGGCGAGACAGCGGCCGTCGTTCGCACGGCATGCAGCCGGCTCCACCCGGTCTGACAAGATGCGCGCCATGGTGGACCACTGGCGCAAACAGACCACCAGTCTCTAAACCTATGAGCTGTAATGCATTCTATGATGTAAATCATTAACGCATTATGTAACAAGTTTGAACTGTAGCATGAAAGTTCATCTGTGTTGGTATATAACATTATGATAACAGTTAAACCTTACGTGACCAACACAAAGTAAATTGGGACGGGGGGCGTCATAGGTTATCTGCCACGTATGACCCTCTGCTGCAACCACGTGTTTCCGACGTCACGTCCCGGAAGCTGCAGTAGATGGGTCCATTCCGCGAACAAGACTGACGGAGTCAGTAGAAAAATTTGTGTTGGTCACGTAAAGTTTAACTGTTATCATAAGTTTGAACTGTAATTGCCACCACAAGAAATTGGACCCAAATTTTCGACTGTACAACTCCAGGCTTTGTCAAGGATTGAGCAATCCACCGCTTCCGTAGCGTCATAACACATGTGACTCCGTGAGCAGTGGGTCATAGGTTGCAGAAAGTCTGTGACGCCCCCCCGTCTCTCATTAACGCATATCTACTTCGGGAATTTGGAAATATCTGATTTCCCGGTTTAGCTGCCCTTCTTATGCCACGTTCACATTTCCAAGCCGAGGACCGGGCGGGTTGTTTGCGTGAACGAAAACAATTACTAGTATTAAGAGCATACACAAATAGTGCTCATGGTTAAGTTTCTAAAACGTTTATTGTGCTTTGCTGTCTTATATCATAATTTTAGTTCCAAACGACTGCCCGGCCGGGCCCCGGGTTGGGAAATGTGACCGCGCCTTTAAGGAAGAGTCTGTGGGGCAAGGGGAGTACTATACTGGCCGCCTGTATCCATTGGCCTTTTGTGACTTTCGTTGGGCGGCCAATGGTTACAGGAGGCCAATGGATACAGGCGCGGCCAATATAAGGTCCCCATGCACTGCCATAGAATTTGCTTGGAGAGTACTCGAGCTCTAAAGCGAGGAATCAGATATTTCAATCTTCCTGGAAGTAGATATACGTTTTATAAATTACATCGTACAATGTATATTGTATAAACTCATACGATTGTATGAATGAATGAATGAATGAATGAATGAACTTTATTGCTCGACAAATGTAACGTTACATAGTACAATGAATGGACGTAAAACAACATTACTACTCGTCAATTGAGACCAAATCTCCGCCCACTCACTTTTGAACCCAAACATAAATTTAAAGAAGTTCGATTTAGCACCATCCAAAACTATGCTTCCAACCCTTGTTATCAAATATGAATGATTGGCGGATGTTTTTCCGCCAATGAGATATAGGAGGTTACCATGTAATCTTATCTTTCAAATAGCTCTGTTAGCATTTAATTTGATTTAACATTTTAATGTCTTGGGGTGGTGGGACTACGGCGCACAGATATGTCAACTTTGTATATTTGATGTTAATTGTACCTTTTTTGTTGTGTGGCGCTGTTAATATAAGTTGTTAACTTGAGTGCAGCGCCACACTGTCCTTGTTATGACTTTTATGTTTTGATGAATAAAAAAAATATGAATGAATTAACTTTATTGCTCGACAGTTGTACAGGGTACAATGTATGGCATCAATAACAATGTGATCAATACAATCAAGTCTATTCTAAGAGACTACTTTACTACTGGAATATGAACGTAAACGGCGTATGGCATGGTGTGAGTTAGGCGTTGCTATCTGTTACAATATTTTCTCTCTTTTGTAATGCACTACATATATATTGATCGTGATCGTGAGTGGTAGGCAAAGTAACGTACTAGGGTGATTTGCCTACCAATAATTTGCATACGCCTGAACAGTACTTTGTACAATTCATGCTCAGGGTTCATGCTATAAATTCAACTACATTCTCAATGTGTTAACCCTTACTGTAAGAATCTTTAGACCTTAGAAGTAATAGGAACGTTACACCAAAGAGCTTTAAAATTGATTTTAACCTCCTTGGTTATACGAGACATGTCCAAACGTAGCATGTTGATTTATTCGTAGCTTTGTAACGTATAAATGTAAATGGATTCTTTGTACCACATGTCTGTCTGTATATCCAGTTATATACCTTACGGAAATCGCTGTACTTTTGTGGTGTGAATAAAGTTTGTTATTGTAGCACACACTATCTGGGTAATCAGGCGACAAGGCCGCATTACCGATACCGCGCACTAATACAAAGCATACGACAGCAGACGACAAAATCTACGCCACCAAAATATCAAAGGCACGAGGAACATTGTTATCAGGAAATACAAAAGAGTATTCATAGATATAGCCACAACCGAAAAATCTAGACCCAAAACTGAGTAAGGATATAACTGATTTGCGTCTCATCTCGGGGATTATTTTGTGTAGTACAGTCAAAGAATTTCCCGCCATTTGGTTGACCTTTCACATCCATCATGGCGGCGTGTGGAGATGATGAAAAGTTCCCCCTCGACAGCGAACTAGTCCATCCCTGTTTCTTCCAAGACGAGAGCTTTCAACCTGGGTTTCTTGAAACTGTGAAGGATCTACAGAAGAATGGGGTACTGCAGGATGTCGTCCTTGAAGTCGAGGGCCGTCAGTTTCCCTGCCATCGGCTTGTTTTATCCGTGGCGAGCCCCTACTTCAGAGCCATGTTTACAAGCGGCATGGCGGAAAGTCGGCAGAAGACGGTTATTCTACAGGTATACTGTTGGCGTAACATACGTTAGGACAAATTTGACAAAGTAGGCAACAGAAATCGGAGAAAGCCGTGGGTCTGAGACCCGTATGCTCAAAATAGGTCTGCCCCCCTCCCTACATTAATGCATGTGACCATAATTTTTGGCGACGCCTCAGGTTGGAGCATAATTGTACAGTATTGTTTGCAGTTTGCAAGAATTTTAGGAAATGTAGTACAGGAATTTTGTGGAATGTCTCAGCTCTGGAAGTTGGCTGACACACGCAAAGGTACCGAAGTAACGGGTTCCTCACTGGCCGCCCAGTGCGGAACTCACGGGGAAAGTGGCGTCGACACTCGGGGCCCTGTGCGGAAGAAAGCTCCGCACTGGAATTCTAGTGCAGAAACGGCTTTGTTCCAGTGCTGAAACACTGTCAGGACTGGAATTCCAGAGCTGAATCTTGACACGGCACTCGTTTTCCGGTGCTAATTTCCACTCAGCACTCGTTTGCTAGAGCTCGGAGGCCGTTCACCACTGGATAGCCAGCGCTCTGAGGCCATTCACCACTGGATAGCCGGTGCTGAATTCCACTCGGCACTCGCTACCAGTGCTCAGAGGCCGTTCACCACTGGATATAGCAAGTGCCGAAGTCCCTAAGTAACCGGCTCCTCACTGGATCGTTCCAGTGCTCGGTGACTCTTGGTGCTGGAAGCCGAGTTCTCAAATCATTTCGGCACTGGGCCTCTGGTGCTTACATCGGCCGCGCGGCGTACAGAACAGTATCGTAGGCCAAGTCTATGTCTGTAAAAATGTGCGGATCTGAGCCTTGCAGTATTGTCCTGCCGTTCACCTTGTTGTCCCGATTATAATTTGCTTCCCGGGCGGTATGATCTCGAAAATATAATTGTTAGAGTTCAAAGGCGGCATCTCGGTACCCTTTCTAAAGACAAGGTTTGATTTGCCGATTTAGAGTTTCCAGTGCTGAAGCCGCCGACACTGGACACCAAGTGTTGACGTACCTTTGGCACTGGAGATCTAGGACAGAAGCCGCCTCACCTCTGTATACCGAGTGCTGAGAAAGGAACCCGTTACTTCGGTACTTTTGCCTGACACACATCTTTGCCCACATCCCATCTAAGTGAAATTCCTGGGAACCCCTGGGAAAATCTCTCCAAGGGATATCCTACTTTGCTTAGGGCTTGTTAACTAAACACTCAGGAGAGTAAGAGTGACCTACTGAACTGCACTGTATCTGTCTAGACTTAACAGGTAACAAGGTACATGTTCCTCATAATTCTGTACCATGTAATTCTGCCAGTGATGCACATGGGATATTTACTAGTAACTTCATAATAACGACATACAATTACAAGTGTTCAGATGAAATAAAGCTGATGACTATGTTGTATTTGCTGGGTTCGTGGCACTTTTTAGTCTTACCGCCTGTTTCCCTGAACTAAACAACTAAACACAATCAAATATTCATGTTGAATGTCATGTTTAAACAGAATGGAGTAAGAAAATTCATTTTGTTTACCAACAAGCTTATAAATGTGGTGCCTTTATCAGGAATTTCATTCATAGTGAAAAAGAGCTTCACAAATCAATATGATAATATATGTGCATTGTACAGTTACTACAGTATCATATTGTTGTGTGGTTGCAGTAAGAATAGGATAGAATATAGCTGATACTCAATCATAAAAATAATTGTTATTGTTCTGCAGGGCTTAAATGCAGCCGTTTTTAAGGAGATCCTGAGTTACATCTACTCGGGATGCCTCCAGGTGTCACTGGACAGAGTGCAGCACCTGTACCAAGCAGCCGACCTCCTACAGCTGGACTATGTGAGAGACACCTGCAGCAGCTACATGGACATGGAAGTGGGGTGCTCCACTTGTGTGGACCTGTACAAGTTTGGAGATCTCTTCTCACTAGATACTGTCCGGGAAAGTTGTTTGCAGTGTATCTATAAGCACTTTACTAAGGTTGGTGTCTTCAATATTGTATTTTGTTATTCATTTATAGACTATTGTGTATGAGTGATGTCTTCTTCAGAAAAATAAAATCATATTTCCATCCATCACAATGTCCCAGTCCAACAACCTCAAAATTTTTATACACAATGATTATGATAATGTATTCTGTTAGATTTGGAAAGTTGAACAAAAAGCATACAAATGTTGTTAAGGTCTGCCTTGCCAAAAGTATAATCGGGAGGAAGTAACAGTATTTTATTTTATTTTATTGAAATTGCAACAGTGCAATACACGCGGAACAGAGGCAGCTGTTGCTGGTGTTGTGTCCCGCACATAGAAACGAATACTGGACAGACAATACTCATTTTCACTTGAGTCTAGTGGGGAAAGTCGTGTAAAGTGCCTTTCCCAAGGGCACAAGATCGGTGGCATGTCAGGACTCGAACCCGGGACCTCTTGATTCCGAGTCGCGCATGCTGCCGTTGCGCCTCACGACAGTAACAGTATGTCAGAACTAGAGTAAACCCAGCACTAACCAAAGCCTAGGCTAAGGTACTAAATTTCACCTGAGTCAAGTCAGAAAATATGTGCAAAATGACTTTCCCAATGACACAACTTTGGGGCCTGTTAGAAATTTGAACTTGGAACCTAATAACCCTAACTTTGCCACAGGTTTCCTCCAGTGAGGAGTTCTGCAGCCTGAGTGTGGATCAGCTGACTGAGATCATCAGCCATGATGAGCTGGATGTTAAAGAGGAGACAACAGTGTGGGAGGCTGTGGTGAGATGGGTGCAGCACAGCAGGGAGGACAGGTGGATGTTTTTCAGTGCTATGTGACATGTACATGATCTTATATTGAAGGAAATAATATCTCAGATTTGTGTAAGAAAAATTGACAACTGGTAATTTTTATTAATTGTCTAAAAACTTGCTTTGTTTTGTTTCCGCCCACAACCCTTGACACAGACACGTGATAATCCATTTGACTTGACGGCACACGGGTGCCGGATGCTTGTTTTTGTTGATAAGGCCATGTTGATTTGATTATATGGATGACATCCGCGCGCATGAATTTTCGGCCGTTTCCACAAAAAAAAGTTTTCAACCATACTGTAAATCGTACAAAACAGTTGCAAAATGAGCAAAAATATACCATAAGTTACAAAAAAAATTAATAAAAACTATACCAATGTCGTAGAATGCCAAAATCAAACGAAAAAAGACGAAATTGTAAAGAAATGAACTTGAAGACTAGATTATTCGCTAAACCATATTCTGTGCCATTTGCTCAACCCTCATTACCACGTAGATTTCATAATGAAAAGTAACTTTTTTTTTTTTGTCCAAAACTTTTTTTTTATTCGCACGCGCACATCAGTTTTGGGGCTCCCGGAGGATGTCATCCATATAATCAAATCAACATGGCCTAATTAACATTGGAAAGTGCAGACAAAAGTGGAAAGTGCAATCAAAATGTCTTATCATTGCAACTGCCTCCTTACATAGGTACGTGTACAATGAAGATTCTTATAGCCTTGCTTATTACCTCTGGGGAAGGAGATATCCTTCCGCGAGGAGGTTTTACTATTGTTCGAAACATTTCTGTCAGCAGCTGTTTCTCGCGATCGGCTGGACGGATTGGTCTGTTGTTCGGTATACGTATTGCTATTGGGCTGCAGATGATGCAGAACGTTTTTGTTTAATTGCATATGTGTTTATGGGCGTCGAAATAAAAGGTTTTTAAGTGCTCCGGACACCCCCGTTATGCTGAAAATGGAATTTACCATGTTGTTAAGGAATGGGGAGGTTTCAGTTTTGGGTCTTAGCATTCAAAAGGGGTCAAACAGAGGGGTGTCTTGTTCCGATAAAAATTTTGGGTGACGGCGCAGCAATGACGGCGTGGGATGACGGCGGGGGTAATGGCGCGGGTGACGGTGCATGCAGGCTGTCAGACTGTGAGACACGTTAATCAACAGTCCATACCGAACCAACCGTCAGTAGCCATCAAACACATACAAACATATTACGCACATAACTTTCATACTACACACAAACAAATAACCTAAACCAATAGAAAAAAAAACCCGGAGGTTTGAAATCTACGATTTCCCTTGTTTATTATTATAATTACATTTTCAGTGCATCTGTGTGTAACCTTGTATTTCTGTCATTATATTTCCACATGCAAGGCATATCAGGACTAGTGATGCATACCTAAACCCAATTTAAGGTTCAGTTGTGGATTCAAGTCCAGAGGTTTAGGTTCAGTTCCGGACTCGTAAGTCCAGACCTAAACCCATGGCATATACAAAATTGCATGTTGGCAACCTCGCAATGTTGTCTGGGTGAAACTTTGGCCACATAACATGGAGGCCGATACTTGACGATGCCCGATGGCAATGTTTTCTTCGTTTTGCAGCAAAGATTTTGCAATGTACAGAAGATTTTAGGTGGTTTGGAAAGAAAAGGGGTATGTGAAATGGTCTTTTATGGTAATACATGTAAGTCCGGACTCGGTTCTTGACTTTTAGGTTTTTTTGGACTTGAACCTAAACATTCTTACAAGTCCGGATCCAAGTCCAGTGAACCGGTATGCAGCACTAGTCAGGACACTTACAGGCCAAAAGACCTGGCTCTTTGACTGTTACCTTGTAGGACCCAGTGGAAAAATGCATATTCAGAATCAGTTAGAAATTTACGATAATGAACAAAACAAGTTCACAAAAACCCTTAATGAAAATTTCATGTAAGAAGAAATGATTAGAAAGTTATGATTTTCAGTCGTGGACTATTACCGATGAGTTGGTAACCCTTACCCTGTACCCTGCAGAACGCACCACATACCCAGCATCCTCCCTCACATCCGCTTTGACCTGCTGACACCACGTGACATGGTGGCCATCTTAGACCATCCCCTAGTCAGAGAGGATCCTGGGAGATCGACCATCAGGAACGTGGTAAATGAGAGCTCCAACCTGAAGAGAAGACATGGGATGGACACACTGGAAATGGCCATCATTCCTGTCTATGGGTCTGGACAAATGTAATTATCATTAATAATAATAACAGTTTATTCTTTCATGAATAATAGGGTCATGTTGCATAGCCTGGGGGTCATCCCACTGCTTGCTCCCTTATGAAATATATGAATAACCACAAAAACATTAAAATTCAAATAAAAGCCAATTGACAGTATTAAAACATGTGTTGATATGTACTAGTACATGTATGCTGTCGTTCCTCAACTGTCTGTAGAGTTTAAATGTTTGAGTTTAAAATTTCATATTTAAAACCAAACTGGAAACATAATGAGGAAAACAAAAATAGTTTGTCCAATGTACTGACACTTTTTAATGGGGGACCACAAGACAATCAATCAAGACAATCCATTTCATTTCATTTCATATCATGTTGACACTCATGCACTAACGCTGCCAACAGCATAACCTTCTTGGCGAAGGTAATGAATTGTAACTATCTTGTGATTGTTGCCCTGAAGAAGGCAACAGATGGTCACGGAAACATTTGATATGAAGACCCACTGGTTGTTGAATAAACAACCTTCTTACATGTATATAGTCTCTTGCCAATCTGTTAATTGAAATTATATGTAGTAAAAAGTTTAACTTTATTCCAACACACAGTCAACAGAGAGATCAAATTTTCAGCGACCACTGTCACCTTCATCAGGATAATTAATGACCAATCACTTCACAATGTGATCTCCCGAAAGCGTTACGGTTTACAATTATATGTATTAAGGAAATTTTCAATGTATTCTATTGTCTCCAGGACAGATCAGATGGTCTTCATGAATCCTCGAGCAGGGGAGTACATCACCTGGAGTCATAGGCCTGAAAATTATGAAGAAAACCCTGTGCCGATCATTGCCATGACTGTTACCAGTGACAACGACATTTACATCCTGCAGGAAGTAACTGAAAACATCGATGAAAATCAGCTAAATATGTTGAAGTACAACCATGCAAGGAATAGGTGGGAAGATGCTGTTATTTTCCCAATATTCCTGCCCAAACCAGTCAACCATGTGCACTATAGCCTTTTCCTGGTTGAAGTTGATCGAATCTTATACTTCCTTGCTGTGGATAGTTACAATACAGGAGCAAGTGCATTGGTGCACATCGAAAAGTACAACCAGCACGTGGACCGCTGGCATGATTGTTCACAACTTTTGATTGACAAAGTAACTAGGCCAATAGGGGACATCTTGGTAGTGTCGTCTGGTCCGTACATCTATTTCCTCACGAATGCAGAAATGCACAGTTACGACCCAAGCCAGGACCGTTGGTCCAAGCTGACCCCACCAAAACTCATGCCAGGAATCTGCACAGCCACCTCATTGGGGACCGAGATATTCTGCACCGACAAACAATTCAGCAAGGTTATGGCGTATGACACAGAGTCTGCCCACTGGCGGGTACTGCCAGGCTGGCCCAACCGGGGACCAGACAGGGCGGCTAACAAGTACCCCTGTCTGTTTGTACTGGAGAGCCAACTGCATGTATGGCTGGAAACGTGTGTAATGTCCACGGACACGGTAGATGGCAGTCTTGTGTTTGTGTATGACGGGTCTGAAGGAGCTTGGAGAGACTTGAATGCCACCTTGCCAATCAAGGATTATGACACCAGGGTCCATGTGGCACGCTTTCACCTACCACGTCTTACTGCTCGAGGTTTACACGAGGACACATAGAGTTCAGTATGTCCGTGGGGAGGGACTGTTTAGACCACCTTTCTACTAGACTGCTATGACTGAGCAACCAAGATTTTCTATGACCCTTGACTTTATGATCAGAATCTGATGCACGATGCAAAAAGTATGATTCAACGACAACGAAACACAAAATGTGAACAATTTTGTTCTTTTCTTGAAAGTTCATTCAACCAAGACGGGAGACGGCACAGACTTTCTTGACTTTATGATCAGAATCTGATGCACGATGCAAAAAGTATGATTCAACGACAACAAAACACAGAATGTGAACAATTTTGTTCTTTTCTTGAAAGTTCCCTCAACAAAGACGGGGGGCGACACAGACTTTCTGCTAACTTACGATCCACTGCTCACCGTGTCACGTGTCATCTGCATAAACGTGACGTCACAGAAGTGGTAGATTGCTCATTCCTTGACAAAAGACTGGAGTTGTACAGTCAAAAATTCGGGTAAGTCCAATTTCTTGTGTAGGAAATAATTACAGTTTCAATTTCCGGCATCATGTTCTTGTTTTTGTTTATGAAATTTGTTTATGAGACGAGCAGTCTGTTAAATGTATTCTTATGCTCACTGGTCACTCATTGGCTGATAGTGGAAAAAGTGCATTTTCTTCAGTCATCATCTTTTACATCCCATTCAGGCTGATATTTGAATTGCGATTGAATCCCGATTGAGGTGCAATCCCGATTGAATCCGGATTGAGGTGCAATCCCGATTGAGTCCCGATTGAGGTCCAATCCCGATTGAATCCCGATTGAGGTCCAATCCCGATTGAATCCCGATTGAGGTCCAATCCCGATTGAGGTCCAATCCCGATTGAATCCCGATTGAGGTCCAATCCCGATTGAATCCCGATTGAGGTCCAATCCCGATTGAATCCCGATTGATTTTTCTCAATCTGAATGCTCCAATCGCGATAGAATCGTGGTTTATCAAATCCATCTCTGAAAGGTGGATTTAATCGCAATTGACAGCAATTCCTGTGCGGAAGGAACACTATCGCGATTGGATGAGCCGACAAGTGTGAAGGCCTCGAGATCAAATCGCGATTGGAGGCAATCCTGATTCAATCACGATTGGATCCTAGATGTGGATTTAATGTGAACGAGGTGTTACTGAATGCCTCTATACTACAATGAGTCAGTTAATGCTATACTAGTATTTTAGTGGTACTTTGGTTCCTTCCTGCCCCTATATCTTACTTTTTGTCTTTTTCCTTGGTTATAAATTAGTTATTAAGAAGGGACACCTTGTGATGATCATAACCAACCTGATGTTCTGATTATTAGATTCATACTATTGGTCTACTATAGAGTACTATTGGTCACTTCGAAGAGGCTTACCCCATAATTGAATTTTTATACTATATTATCCTCACATGTATTTTGTATTGTAACCTGGGCACCAGACTAGATTTTTTTCCATTGTACACCATGCAGGTACAAACGTAGTTAATTTAGTTTAAAGTAGCTGTACACTTCAAGTAGTTAGTAAAGTTCAAGTATGATAAGTTAACTTTTTATTATACTAAATAATAAATTGTAATAAAAAATAACGGACGTTGATGGAAACCAAATGTTGTTTTCCTTGGGTCAATTTGTTTGAAGTCCAGTACTAGTTGTTCACAGACACGAAGGCGATAAAATACCCTAAAGTGCCCTGTTAATAGTTGCAGGTACATCAATCAATAGGAATTCAAATTCACCCTCTGTTGGTCACTATGCTCTACAATGATTCAGTAAACTCATGGTAAACATTAATTATCTCATTAATTATCTCTCATTATCTCAACATTAATTAATTCCATCATGACAAAGATTTTTGTGGGTAATGAAAGTTGTAAGTTGTACAGTGTGTATTTAGCATTGACTCATTGCATGAGAAAACTAAAAAAAAACCTCATGGTAAACTCCTCTACTTTGGGAAATTTCTACAGTTTTTTTTCCCAAACGTCTACGATTTAGACACGCAGACGCGTGTAGACGATCCCCTAGGTCGCCCTTCCGAATTAACATAATTAAATAGCTTGCAATTGAAGAGCCGCAGTCAAGTAATTTATATGTAAGTCAACGGCGCAAGTAGTAGTTAATCAGGGTACATGTAGAAGTGGTTTGAATACAAATCAAAGTCAAAATTCTCAACAATAACATCGTAGTGACGAAAACTACGTGCTGTTTTCGTCTTAGTGCACCTTTAAGCGCATTGCTCCTTTCTTGTTATAACCGTTAATCCGATTAAGGGCACAGAAAAGGGCCAACAAAACCTCTACTGCTACAGTTGTTTGTTCAAGCTAGTTTTTGTCGCCCCTACCTCCCGCAATTTTTACATGTACAAGAAGAATGGTCGCGAACGTTCGCGAAAAGCTTTTAAATCAAAAGTCTTACCGAACGTAATTGCTAAGGAAAGGTGGTCTTTAACCAATTGATCTTGTTAATGTCGTTCCTAAACCGTTTGGCGATTGGTTGCCATGACGACCATTAAGGCCGCCGCCGCTTGCTGTTGTGCGAAGAATAGAAGCTTAACGGTTAATTGCAAAATAAAAAGGGAGTGTTTGCTGGTCGCCGCTACCGTAGCGCGTTGCCAAGAAAGGCTTTTCTGACCTATTTTTTCAAAGCCACCCCTATGTTACCGAATGTTGTGGTCCACACAAAACGAAATCTTTGAAGATTTAGACCATTACAAGTCAATGTAGGGGTGGGTAGGACAATGTAGTACCGAGTATGAAGCTTACTATTGTAAGATTTTGTATAATTGCTAATACATTAGGCATGTAACCTAGCACCAGTTGAGTTTATCAGACGCTTAAAGATTTGAGTATTGTGAGTGAAAGTGTTCCGGAGGCGGTTTTGGGCATCTTAGTGATACAAGAAGCTCTACATCTATGGAGATGGCTTCACCTAGACTACCGAGTATCATCAGAAGAAACACAGTACAAGTACGGGTACAACAAGGCCGCACGGTTCCAACCGAAAGGCAAGTGAGATTCATGAATATATCTCAAGTTATGCAGATCGTGTTGTTATGTGTGAATGCAAGTGTGATACATGTACATTCGTCGATACATCAGATTTAGAGGCAACTACGAACGCAAGGATTTGTTACTCAATCAACCGGATAAAATTTACCTTGTTTCAAATTTATCCACTTGACTTGAGTAACAATTTCTTGTGTATCTTATTACCTGGATGTCTAACCTTCATCGACGTGTCACGGACAATGGTATCTTAGATATACTAGATATACGGCGTTCCGTCTTGTATTTCTTGCCTTGTAAAAATGGCAGGCGATGCGTTGAATCTAGGCAACGATCAACGTAAGTACACCTCTTTGACACGTGGATAAATGTGTATTGAAAAGACCACGACAGGTGGGGTCGTGTGGCGTAGCGGCAGAGTGCGCGACTCGGAACTTAGAGTCCCGGGTTCGAGTTCTGACATGCCACCGGTCTTGTGCCCTTGGGAAAGGCACTTTACACGGCTTTCCTCACTTAGCTCAGGTGTAAATGAGTATTGTCCTGTCGTATATTTACCCCCTGTGTTGGTGGCGGCATTAGTATAAGTTGAAAAAAAACTTGAGTGTGTCGTCACCACGTCTGGTGATTACATGTTGGAAAATAAAGACCTTATATCGTTTATTGAATCAAAGACCTTTATTGTACATTTTTGCTCATTTCGAACTAAGTACAGGTCATGGTAAATAGCGATGGTAGACTAAAATATATCTATAGTAAAACTACATATGTACACTTACGGCTTCTTCTCGCATCTAAAACAGTTGTAAATTCTAACCCTTGTTTATGTCACCACAGGTTTCGTCCATTAGGCACGTTTCGGGGACGTGACTCTTTCAACGCCTCCATTTCCCGACGCCTCTTCGGCAAAGATCGGAACCGCTCGCCGACCGTCGACGAAATCACCGAGCATGACGTCGAGGCCATGCGCCGAGCGGTGGAGCTGGAGCTCCTAACCTTCAACAAGTGGACCCGGACCAAGGACGCCTCCCCGCCGCCCAAGAAGGACCACTTCTCCCTCATGTCCAGGTTTGACCCCTGCCCTACCCGAGCGGTCACCCCGCTGCCAGAAAGAAGGGACGACCCCAAACTGGGAACGAGATCCTGCCTCAAAGCAGACGACCCGAAACAGGACTACTGCAGCATTTTGGGCGAGTACGCATGCACCGCTTGCACCAAGCAGAGGAAGAAGAAGAGAGTCACCTTCCGTTTGAATCAGAGCTATCCCAACTGGGACACCAATCCCAAGACCCTCTGCGCGCCCATCAGGGCCGAACAGCTTCGAAGAGCGTTTCCTAGGCAACCGTCGTCAACGTCGTTTTCGCGCCGAAACAAGGCAGAGACGAAAGTGGTCGCAAAGAACAAGGCACGAACCGAGGTACTCTTACCTAGCGATAGTTTCATGTATTTGCAATGTTGATAGAATCCTTAGTCGTTGTATGGTCGTTGAATTTTCCGTTAGAGCAAAGGCACGATTGTCACGATTTAAAATATACTAACGTTACTGCTATGTTACTAGCATTACTAGCATTTGTATATACAGTTACTGCACGTATCACTGTTTTGTATTTTTTTATGCACATTGTCTATTTATTTGTGGCCATGGTGGCCTTGAAAAGGTGCACTTAGGTGCACCTGTTCCACCATGCCCTCCATGTATATTATGTATGTGGTTAATGGTAATAAATAAATAAATTGCGGTTAATTTGAATAGTTGGGACTTAAAAGGAAAACTCCTGGCGTTTTTTTTCTGGGGTGGGGGTCAATGAAAGAAAGCTTTCCCTTCTCTTTTTGTAGTGCTCTGTTTTGTTTTTGTACCGACTTATTCTTCTCTTCCCTCACGCCCTTGCGATGGAATAGGGTCCCCCCAAAAGTCAACTGAAGCAGAGCAAGTGCTGCTGGGAAGGCCAAGTGACGGAATACGAGGTGATGCAGCGCATGGCCGAGAAGAAGAGAGAACCATGGGAAGACGCGCCAAGGATTGTGGTCCCGACGGTGACGTCACGCCAGAGGACCGATAGCGAGGCTACCAGCGTGTTCGTGGCGCCGCCTATCGTGTAGGGTGCCGATGACGTCACAGGCCGCCATGTTGGTTGGTTAAGCCAGGAAGGCTAAGACTTATACATTGACTTGGCGTTGTGTAATTATGCCGTAAACAACATTTTATATTCTAAATGTGGAATAATCCATATGCTGCAAGAACAAAAATGCTGCTTTACAGAACAGTGAAAAGAAAAACACGCTCAACTCATCAAGTGCACATTTTATTGTACATATTTCACATTTCACGGCAAAGATAGAGTTCAATGATTTCATTTGGAATCTTGTATATAGGAATTAGAGATGTCTATCTGAAAAGTCAAAGTTACAGCCTACATGTGAATATCACCACCACACGAGCGTTTCGTCAGGTAAGCAACGATAAAAGCTATCCTAAAGCTATTTGGCAGGATCAAGTAATACATACATATAATAAGTCATGTACAATGAAGACAGGTCATTTATTACGTACAGATTGTTTGATATCGAGCGTTGTCCAGAGTTTGTTTGAAGGACTGGACGATTTTTTGATTAACTGCACGCTGCTTTGAATATCCAAAAGTTTACGAGATTATGGTCATTAGTTTACATTGTGGACAATTACAGAAAATACTTAGCACTGAAATTTGAAAATGTTGACAACGTTTACCTGCTCTATTTTTAAACCTTGCACACTTGTGTAGCTGCTATTGAGGAATAAAGTTATGATTCAGCATAAGTAAGGTTTTGTGAGCGAGAGACTAGTGCTTTGTGTTTTGATATATATAGGACCACCAAGCACTAAAACACTCGAGTACTCGACAATACAGAAGATATTCTGCTTATCTTAGACCGTCTAAGACGTCTGTCTATGTTCGGAAAATCTCAAGAACAATCTTCTCGGAGAATTTTTTTCCATAACGATACCGGCTCGGTAAAGATTGAGGTTGTCATAGCGCATAGTTTCGTTGTGGTGACCAGACATGAACGCCATCATGCGGATGATCTCCGAATTACGGACGTGTTGGACACCATTTTTCGTTGGGATAACCGCCTGGTCATGCAAAGAAATACAAATATTACAGCTTTTAATATTAGAGCTTATACATAGAAACTGAAAAATCAAACGTTATCAGATATTGCTTGAACAGAAAATGAATATAAGTTGAAGGAATAGAATGATTTTCCCACATTGTAGATTAATTTCTGTGACGACTTACCAATGTAATATCGATGTGCCACGATCGTGTTGCACTGCAGGGGATGCTCGCTAGATGTCCTCACCTACCAGGGTAGAAATGTTCACTATCAACTGCTAAACCAATGAGCGAATGGCAATTATTGGTTTGACCAATAAGAGAGCGGCTGCATGTCCGTCACATATTTGCATTTCTATGTTTTACGTAGGTGGGCGGGGCTTTAGAATCGGTCTTCCATCTCGATAAATACTGACGGGGACCTTTTCTGTCATTTGGTGTGCGTGTTTCTTGAACAGGGTCTGGCAAATGTTAGTTGATATGGATCGAATGGGTGTAGACATTAGCGCACGTAATGGGTAGTTTTTCGTCGATGCGTATCGCTGACGCGCGTATCATTGTGTTCTCAAGGGCACACCCAAAATGACATGTCGTTTTTGGTACCCACCCTACCGACGACAAAATGTACGGTGACGCATGTTGATCTGGGAGTCGATTAAAGGCATCCAGTGCAGTTTTTAGGGCTTGGATACAAGTCAATATTCTAGTGACCTATCATATCAACATACTAAGTTGAAACAACACTGCCCAAATGTATATCCACATTCGTGGAGCAAAAATTCCCAAGATTCTGACGATGAACGGTTACTGGAAGGACCATTTCATTTTAGGGTACCACCCCGAAAACAAGGACTTTATCTTGGGGCTTGTTTCTGCAGTTTTAAATGCCTAAAGTATGAAATACTGATTGAAATGTGCTAATGTGGGATAGAATGCGTCAATATTGTACAGATTGCCTTATTCAGAATGTTTCCAGTTTTGCCGCCCTGAAATTGCGTTAGATGCCTAGCCTTTTAAAGCCCCTGTCACATACACATTCACGAATGTGGCCTCCCGAACACTAGTCGAATTCCCGACAACCCTACAAATGGTTAGAGTAGGTCGGACCAATGTTGGTGTTGGGAGAGGTCAGCTACTACTAGTATTCGGCTCACAGCCCATTGTTGCCAAACATTGAGCACTGGACAATCTATAACAACCGATAAGAAGAACAAAATGATGATTATCTCTATTCTACATTCCTGTCTGCAAGTCCATAACAAAGGGCAATGACGCAAGTAGCCCGGTGTCGAATCTATCATGATTTGGGAGGGCTCCCTTCGGTCCACCGCCAGTTCAACTAGACTCCCCGGTAGACTTGTTTAGGTAGATAAGAGATGCGTGTATTATGTCTACATGTGTTTAGACGACTGTGTATACTCACCATCTGTCCACAAGTACACTGTATCCACTGCCACTGCTACACGACAGGAACTACACCACCATCCTCTGGACCCTTAGAAAAGCTAAACACACCGGCATTCTCTGGACCTGTAGGGCAGCTACACGAAAGGAACTCCAGCGGCATCTTCTGAACCTGTAGAACAGCTACACCGGCATCCTCTGGACCTGTAGAACAGCTAGACACTCCACCGACATCCTCTGGACCTGTAGAACAGCTACACCACTACACCGACATCCTCTGGACCTGTAGAAAAGCTACACACTTACACCGGCATCCTCTGGACCTGTAGAGTAGCTACACCACTCACACTGGCATCGTCTGGACTGTAGAACAGCTACACACTTACACCGGCATCCTCTGGACCTGTAGAACAGCTACACACTACACCGGCATCCTCTGGACCTGTAGAACAGCTACACACTACACCGGCATCCTCTGGACCTGTAGAACAGCTACACACTTACACCGGCATCCTCTGGACCTGTAGAACAGCTAGACACTTACACCGGCATCCTCTGGACCTGTAGAACAGCTACACACTACACCGGCATCCTCTGGGCCTGTAGAATAGCTACACACTACACCAGCATCCTCTGAACCTGTAGAACAGCTACACAACTACACCGTCATCCTCTGGACCTGTAGAACAGCTAGCTACACCGGCACATGTTTGATAGAGACAGGCATGAGTGTGGTGTGTGCTGATAGCAAAGCAAACAAGACAAGCACTGGGAAAGGAGGATGCGTTTTTTTCCAGCGCTTCGGCTGTGCAAGACCAAGGGCGAACATTACCCGCGCAGAGTACCAACCAATGACCCGCTAAACGCACGACATCCCGTGGTCTGTCCAGAATGTATCTGCCTGCCGAATCTCCTTTCTTCTAATCCAATGACGATGAAGTACCTGCTTTTGAAAGAGCAGACAGCAACGTTATTTTCGTTCGGGTCGTTGTTACTATGCCCGTGGTTCTAAGTTGTGGCGTCTGTGAGGTTAATGTCGTTAACGTTGTTGATTCTGCAGTACTTATTGAGGTCGGTTTTGAAGTATTTCCTTTAGCTACTTGTGAGGAATGTGAGGTTGTTCTGTCTGTAGTTAGCTGAGTAGTCTCTTTCCTAGTTTTCCTCTGAAATGTTGGTCGCGTAGTTTCTTTTGTACTAAAAGCAGTTCGTTTCTATATTTAAGAGTCTCTAGTTGTGCCTTTGCCTTGGTAAATATTGCGTTTGGTTGTTGCGTTGTCATTTGAGTCGTTGTCTTTAGCTGCCTATTTTAGCTTCCGAGTGTCTTTCGTTCTCTCTGCAACTACAGTGGTCGGCGGAAGCTTGCTCCGTAGTAAGCTAAGATGTTGCTTGCTTGTGTTGTTCGTACTGTGGTCGTCTCGGGCGTCGGTCGTGAAGTTTGCTGTGTGACTATGTGGCGTTGTATGTTCTGTACTTGTCGCTGGTGGCGCTTGTGCTGTCTTACCTGCAGTCCCCACAGTGGTTCTCTCTGTCGTTGGCTGAGTTGTTGGTGAGATCGTTGTGACATGTGTCGTTGGTACAGCCGTTGGGAACAGTGTTGTTTGAATCGTCGTCTCCTCGGTGGTTGGCACTGTAGTTTGTGGCGCTGTAGTTTGCTCCATAGTGAACTTACGCTTTGGTGGCTCTGTTGTAACGTGTGTCGTTGGTACAACCGTTGGAAAGAGTGTTGTTTGGATCGTCGTATCTTGTGTTGTCTCATCGGTGGTTGTAGTTTGTTCCGTAGTGAATTGAGGTTTTGGTGGCTCTGTTGTAATTTGTGTCGTTGGTACAGCCGTTGGGAAGAGTGTTGTTTGGATTGTCATATCTTGTGTTGTCTCCTCAGTGGTTGTAGTTTGTTCCGTTGTGGACTGAGTTTTTGGTGGCTGTGTTGTAACGTGTGTCGTTGGTACAACCGTTGGGAAGAGTGTTGTTTGGATCACCGTATCTTGTGTAGTCTCCTCCGTGGTTGTAGTTTGTTCCGTAGTGAATTGAGTTTTTGGTGGCCGTGTTGTAAAGTGCGTCGTTGGTACAGCCGTTGGGAAGATCGTTGTTTGGATCGTCGTATCTTGTGTCGACCCCTCGGTGGTTGGCACTGTAGTTTGTTCTGTACTGAACTTCGATTTTGGTGGTTGTGTTGTTATTTGCGTCGTTGGTACAACCGTTGGGAAGAGCGTTGTTTGGATCACCGTATCTTGTGTAGTCTCCTCTGTGGTTGTAGTTTGTTTCGTAGTGAACTGAGTTTTTGGTGGCTGTGTTGTAACGTGCGTCGTTGGTACAGCCGTTGGGGAGATCGTTGTTTGGATCGTCGTATCTTGTGTCGACCCCTCGGTGGTTGTCACTGTAGTTTGTTCCGTTGTGAACTGAGTTTTTGGTGGCTGTGTTGTAATTTGCGTCGTTGGTGCAGCCGTTGGGAAGAGCGTTGTTTGGGAAGTCGTTTCTTGTGTCGTCTCCTCAGTGGTTAACGTTGTAGTTTGCTCCGTTGTGAACTGCGATTTTGGTGGCTGTGTTGTAATTTGCGTCGTTGGTGCAGCCGTTGGGAAGATCGTTGTTTGGATCGTCGTTTCTTGTGTCGACCCCTCAGTGGTTGGCACTACTGTAGTTTTTTCCGTACTGAACTGCGATTTTGGTGGCTGTGTTGTAATTTGCGTCGTTGGTACAGCCGTTGGGAAGACAGTTGTTTGTGAAGTCGTTTCTTGTGTCGTCTTTTGCGTCGTCCCCTTGGTGGTTGGCACCGTAGTTTGTTCAGTAGTGGACTGAGTTGTTGGAAGCGTTGTAACGTGTGTGGTTGGTACACCTGTTGGTAAGAGCATTGTTGACACCGTTGTAGGCTGTGTAGATCGCAATGTGGTCGTTGGTATTGTAGTTTGAGTAGATTGTCGAGTTGTTTGTTTCGTTGTAGTATCAGTGGTTGGTATAATTGTAGTTACTTCCGTTGTGAACTGAGTTTTTGGTGGCTGTGTTGTAATTTGTGTCGTTGGTACAGCCGTTGGTAAGACAGTTGTTTGGGAAGTCGTTTCTTGTGTCGTCTTTTGTGTCGTCCCCTCAGTGGTTGGCACTGTATCTTCTGTAGTTCCCACAGTAGTTGGCCTTGTAGTTTGTTTGGTTGTCTCTTCTGTAGGAACTACACTAGTTGGCACTGTAGTTTGTTTGGTTGTCTCTTCTGTAGTGACTACAGTAGTTGGCCTTTTAGTTTGTTTGGTTGTCTCTTCTGTAGTCCCTACAGTAGTTTGCCTTGTAGTTTGTTTGGTTGTCTCTTCTGTAGTCCCTACAGTAGTTTGTTTGGTTGTCTCGTCTGTAGTTCCTACAGTAGTTGGCCTTGTAGTTTGTTTGGTTGTCTCGTCTGTAGTTCCTACAGTAGTTGGCCTTGTAGTTTGTTTCGTTGTCTCTTCTGTAGTTCCTACAGTAGTTTGTTTGGTTGTCTCGTCTGTAGTTCCTACAGTAGTTTGTTTGGTTGTCTCGTCTGTAGTTCCCACAGTAGTTGGCCTTGTAGTTTGTTTGGTTGTCTCTTCTGTAGTGCCCACAGTAGTTGGCCTTGTAGTTTGTTTGGTTGTCACGTCTGTAGTTCCCACAGTAGTCTGTCTTGTTGTCTCGTCTGTAGTCCCTACAGTAGTTGGTCTTGTAGTTTGTTCTGTAGTAACCTGCGTAGTAAGCAGCGTAGACCTTTCAGTCGTATGCTTTTGCGTTGTAGGATCCACCGTCGTTGGAATGGTTGTGAAGTGCGTTGTAGGATGATTCGTCGTGGGAATCGTGGTGACTTGAGCCGTTGTAGACCGTAGTTGTTTCTTCTGTCGTCACCTGAGTCGATTGCTGCGTTGTTCGTTCAGTAGTAAGGTTTTGCGTTGTATGATTCACAGTTGTTGGAAATGTGGTGAACTGAGTTGTAGGATGATTCGTCGTGGGAATTGTGGTGACTTGAGCGGTTGTAGAATTCTTTGTCGTTTGGATGGTGGTGAACTGCGTTGTAGGGTGCTTCGTCGTTGGAATGGTGGTGAAGACAGTAAGTTTGGTTGTAGGATGGGCCGTCGTTGGGATAGTGGTCCTTTCTAAAATGAAATACAAAGAAGGGAGTATTTCAGTATCAGCGATCAACATTTTTGTTTGCTTTGTATTATATTTCGCTTGTATTTTTTTTTTTTTTAATTTTTTTTAGATTTTTTCAAACTTTATTAATATTCACAATGTTACATTAAAAAGATATACATAGTTGACATACATGTACAATCGTGTGGGATGATATATCAAGGACAGTTTTTAAGGTAACGTTATCTGGGAATTGTCTATATATATAATGATATCACATAAAATGTTCCCATTGTTCATTATCGTCCATTTCTATAATTTGATTTTAGTCTGTGCTTGAAAATTGAGAGTTTTGGTTTACAGTTTGTTATGAAGCATGTGTAAATACAATATTTAGCGATAAGGAGACAGTGTGCAAGTGCACTAACATGGCGAGGATTGTCAATTATACCGTAAATAATCATCTTCTCGTCTACAATTAGGTCTTGTTTTGTACATCGTTTCCACCAGTAACAGAATTCTTTCCAAAATTTTTTTGCTTCTTTACAATACAAGAATAAATGTTCAATAGTGTGCTTATCTGTGCAATTGTTACATCGATCCGTTTGTACCAGATTTGTTTTTCTTAGCCAACTATTTGTAGCCAGGTAGTGATGGATAATCTTATACTGAAAACATTGTAATTTGGTTTCCCTTGTAGCAACAAAAGCAGCAGTATAGGCTCTCTCGGTGTTGTCTTTACCAATTTTTTGTATAATTTCTGATTCTCTACTTGGAGGCACAACTTGTTTCTGAATAAGAATATCATATAATTGTTTGCATGTTGTTGTTAAGGGATGTATCTTTTCGGTATATTCAATAATGTTGTTAGGGGTGTATTTTCTTCCATTGTTTTTAATTATATCTTTCCACTTTTTAGGAATGGCTACTCTTATAGAATTGTATTTCATTATTTGCTTTGAATCCATGGTTATACCATATAGATTATGTAAGTCATTGATTGTTAGAAATGATCCATCCCCATACAACAAATCATTTACACAAATAATGCCAGCATCTATCCAGCTTTTGTAAAACACTGGTACATTCTCGACTAAAATATACCTATTATTCCACAGGACTTGTGAGCATATCTGTCTGTGTGTTTTTGGTTCATAATGGATAATTTCTTCCCAGGCAGTTACAATATCTTTGTAGAATGGTGGCATGTCATTAAGATTTAACAGTGAAGTGGAGTAATTACATCGGAACACAAGAAGCCTCCCCATCTTGCAAACAAGTATTCTTTTTCTTTTGACGGGTTCAGTTATAAATCTTTTGATCCATATAGCTTTTAGAGCTTTATTTCATTATATTAAAATCAATCATTTTAAGCCCACCTTGACATTTGTTGCCAATCAGTGTCTTCATTTTTACTTTTGGAGTTTTTTCTCGCCAGATGTACCTGAATATATATCCATTTACTTGTTTTACAAAATGGGTAGGGACATGCATAACTGAACAGATATATATCAACTTGGAAATACCAATGGTTTTCACAATCAAAATCCGGCCAATCAATGTCAGATTTCGCTGTTTCCATATATTACATCCTTGCACCATTTTTGCATAATTTTTATCAAGGTCTTCCTTATAACACCTTTGTCTGTCATGACCAAAATGTGTACCAAGTGCTTTAATAGGACCATCAGGCCAGCGAATGGGTAGTGGTTTATCTTGTCTTTCTTTATTTGAGCCTATCCAGAGAGCTTCTGTTTTTCCGTAGTTCAAATCGAGACCACTGCATTTTTTAAACCGATTTAGAGTATCTAATAGGTGCAGTGCAGAAGCTATATCTAAGAGTAACGATGTCATATCGTCCGCATACATGGATAATTTGTGTGTCCTGTCATACAATTGTAGACCGTTAATGTTTACGTCGGCTCTAATAGCTGAGGCTAACATTTCAACACTAATTATAAACAGACTGGATGACAGTGGATCTCCCTGTCTTACACCTCTATGAATATTAAACCAAGGAGATATAAAGCTATTGTTAAGCACACAACTTTTTATATCTGTATATAGTAATTTGACCCATCTGATTATGTCATTTCCAAAATTTACAGCTTCCAGTGCCTTCAGTATAAATGAGTGTTCAATACTATCATACGCCTTTTTAAAGTCCAAGAACATAAGTAATCCAGGTTTGTTCTTTTTGTCATAATCCTCTATTATATCATAGACACGTCTTATGTTTGTTCCTATATATCGCTGTTTCACAAACCCAGTTTGGTCCTCATGTATTAAGAAAGGAAGAAAACGTTCAATTCTCAGCGTTAGCGCTTTACTTACGATTTTATAGTCTACGTTAAGCAAACTTATCGGCCGCCAGTTGTCTAAGTTACTTGTGTCTAAACCTTTCTTGGGGATTAATCTTATTACTCCACGCCTAAGTGAAATAGGTAGTGAGTTTATATTGTACGCTTCGTTAATTGCATTAACTAGGTAGGTCTTTAGTAATTCCCAATACTTAACATAGAATTCTATGGTAATTCCGTCACATCCTGGCGCCTTGTTTTTATTTTTGGATAGAGCCTGTAGTGCCTTTTTTAGTTCAAACTCTTTGATTTCACCCTCGCAGCTGGTCTTGTGTTCATCATCTAACTTTTTTACCCCATCGTTATGTAAGAAATACGCTGCTTCATTTATGTTAAGATCACAGTTTGTGGAAGTGTATAATTTTTCATAATATTCAGCTTCTTTTAATAAAATTGTTTGAGGGTTTGTTGTTGTTGAGCCGTCTTCCAAAGTTAGAGAAGTAATAATCTTTTCTTGGTAGTTTCTTTTTTCTAGATTGAAAAAGTATTTTGTACTTCTTTCTCCCTGCTCATACCATCTGCTTCTACTTCTAATAATAGCACCCTTAGTTTTATGATATTGTATACTTTGTAATTTTTCTTTTATTTCACAGATTAGTCTTTTGTTTTCCTAGTATCGTCCGTTTCATCAGTTTCCCTTATTCAAACAGTTAAGTTGTTCTTCTAATTCTTTCTCTTCGTTTTTGTAAGCACGCGCTTTATTTTTAGAGTATTGAATGCTGAGTGACCTTATTTCCATCTTAATTATTTCCCACTGTAGACCTGGCTTTTGAGTATCTTCTAGTTTATCCTTAATATTTGAAAGTAAATTTATCATTTGTGTATTAAAAGTTTGATCTGCTAACAATGAGTTATTGAAGCGCCAAAAACCTGGCCCTCTTTTTTGGAGTTTAGGGGATTCAATTGTCATAATCACAGCTCTATGATCAGGGACAGGCGCTACATTAATGCTGCATTCACTTAGATGTACAGGATGATAAGGTACAAACCAGTTAATCTAACCTGTCATTTTTATACCGTCATTTTTGCCAAGTATACTGTCGACAGCCTGGATTTTTTTCTCTCCACACATCAGCTAAATTCAAGGAATTCAGTAAACAATTTAGTTCCTTGATTGCAGAATCCTTGTCATCAATAGGTCTTCCCCCCGTTTTATCTAATTCTGTAAGGGAAATATTACAGTCACCTCCAATGAGAACTGTCCCACTGGCGTTTTCCTGAGCTAATTGGTTTATTTCTTTAAAGAATTTCACTTGTTCTGTTCTCTTGTTTGGCGAGTAAAGGTTAATCAGACTTACATCGTTATCGTTTACTTTACCATTTGCCATGATATATCTACCGTTTGGGTCAAGAAGTATTTGTTCGAAATCTGTGTCCACCTTTGGATTAAATAGCATCATTACCCCTTTCCCGTGAGTTGTGCCATGACTGAAAATTATTTTCCCGCCCCATTCAGTAGTCCATTGTTTTTCATTTTCTTTTGCCGAAAATGTCTCCTGTAAGAAGACAATATCAATTTTCTGGTTGTGTATCCATCTAAATATGTTTCGACGTTTCAATCTGTTATTCAAACCTCTGACATTTAACGAAATAAGCGTTAACTTGGATGTTAGATTATTTCTTGATGACATATGGATGATTCATTACACATAACACAAATACACATACACAAAAATTATAACAGGGCATGAGTTCTATATGGTAAATACCGTGCAGTTTTAGTTATCAGTCCTGCGGTCGGAGATGACCAGTTTGTCAAACCGTATATAGGCCACCTGTCCTCGTTCCCTGGCCGCCCGTAGTGCCGGTTGCAGATCTTTTCTCTTCTGTCTGATTTTGTCCGAAAAATCCTCGTTTATGAAGATCTGTGTTCCTTTGAGCATCTTCGCTTGCCTTAGAATGTTCTGTTTGTCCTTGTATCGAAGCAGCTTGACCACAATAGGGCGTGGTCGGTCCCCAGGCTTGCCGTTGCGATGAGCTCGCTCGATTTCGATGTTATCCGTGTTTAAGCGAAGCTTGTTTCTCAGTACCTCTTTCACCTTAGTTTCGGACTGTTCCCATGTCTCTTTTCTGTCGTCTTTAATCCCGTCGAAGATCAGATTGTTCCTCCTGGACTGGTTCTCGATGTAATCCAGCTTGTTTGCCATCTCGGTCACTTCAGTGTTGTACGTCATCATATTCTGTTCCAGCTGTTTAATTGTCTGCATTCTTGTCACTTGTTTCTTTCGTGTCACTGATCTCTCCTTGTGAGAAATTCAAGCTGTTTTTAAGTCTTGCATCTCTCTGACGAGGTTATCCATCCTTTGATTTGCTGAATCTTTGATTATTTGTACAAATGAATGAAAGTTTTTTCTTGCTGGTCCAGAAGGTCTTTGTAGTAGACCTTTTGCTGTTCTAACATCTCCTTCATAAAAGCAACACTAACTGGCACTTCTTCATCTATGTTAGTGTTGTTGTTTCTCTTAGGTGGCATGTTGATGGTGGCACTTGTAAACAATGTTAGGCACGCTGAGTTAATTTACCCACACCGGTTTGAGTAGTCGTTGTACGCAGAAAATGCCTCTATTCCGAGAAAATGTTAAACAAAACCACGTAGAGGGTGCTTTAAACTTGCCTTGACTGTAGTTCTGTCCTCTGGTGTCCCGGGAAGTGGTTTGTAGGGCGGTCCTGTGCATGTTCGGTTGACAAATTTGACTCAAATTTAATAAAAAAATTCTTATAGATCGTTAAGCGTGGCCTAAATCTGCCAAGACTGCTCCCGAACTTCAGCCAATCTTGATCGGCTGGTGTTCGGGGCATTGCCGGGGGAAGGTCCTGAAATTGTGACAGGGGCTTTAAACAGCTGGGAAGTGACGGATCTATCTAGAGAGACTAGACGTCTTCCATATCTAGACATAATCACTCTGACAACCTCTGATGTTAGCAAGCCAACACGTCTTTCGGTCTTTATATAGTGTGCCCCGTGCAGCTGGATATACATCTGCATGTATATATAGAATACAACACGGGGTATTCCGTATCGCCCGAGGTGCCAGCCCGACCGCGGGTCGGCT